TCGCAAACACAGTTGCAACCTTATGAAAGAAAATGCAATTTCCACATTGTAGATGTGTCAAAATCATGCATAAATTGCGCACGTGCATAGTGAATTGAAAGCAAATTCAATGATACCACAACACATACATGATGGTATGCATCTTCATTAAGTATCCATTGCAGGTAACCTATATTATTGAACACAAGTGTGACTTCAAGTACAACCTATGTAGTGTTTTTCAGGCTGCTCGCACTGGGACAATTATGACTATAATGTCATAAATTGGTGTCAATAAATTACTATTGTGTGCTGCCAAACTAAGTTCATCTGTTTCAATGATTCTGGTTAGCTAAAATGGCAGTACCCCTCACTCGAGCACCACAGGCGGTCAATGCGAAAAAAACACACACACACACACACACATATGAGGCACCCACCTTGAACCACATACCATCCCAATAAAGCATCCAAGCTTCTACAACAATCTCAGGGAACCAGAATCTTGGAAGCTATTGACCGCGATTTAGCAATTAGATTTGATGAAACTTATTTCCGAATTTTTATAATTCCTTCAGTGCCAATAGCTTGAAAACTTGCAGTCTATATTTATTATTTCGTAATAAGTACGGTGTCAAATTTTACATTTTAACAGCAATATGTGCATGACTTATGCATGCTTACCATGATTTATAATATAATATAATATAATAATAATATTATCAGAAGTTTTGAGTGATAAATAAAATATTCATTCTGCACACACCACAGATTCCGTCAACATCTGTGGCGCATGCCTAGAAAGCTTGCTTTATCCAATATACTGTTAAGCTTGTCGTTAATCAGAAAATTTTATTGGATGTGGTGCTATAAACTATTCTTAATGTTCGTACACGTAAAGTGTTTAGCAAAGTTTCAACACCAAGGTTGAGCGAGATGCATGAAATATTTATTAAACCAAAACAAAATACAAACATAGTGGAAACAAGCAGAGTAAAATCGATGATGCTGGAACGCATGAACTAATGACTGAATTAGTGCTTGCACAGTAAGGTACAGCAATTTGGCCACATTTAGACATGAAATATTCGTCTTAAAATACAGTTCAGGATAAACAAATGGCTTAAAATGCACGGATTCAGGCCGCATGAGGCAACCTATGTCGCTGGTGTATACCGAAAGTTGAAATTTTACTAAACGAGCTGCATGAACACTCAAGTACAAGTGCAACCTTTGTGAACCTTACCTAAGACAATGCAACATGCTGCACACGAACACTTGCCAGCTCGAGTATCACGGTAGTTTATAAAGACGCTTGCCAGCGCGGATACACACACCGGCATACATTCGGCCACTCGCAAGGAAAAAACTTCTCTGATAGTAGTCATAACGTAAAACGATACTGTAGCTGTTTAAAATGGAACGTACAGCAGATGAAACTGCCTCAGACACGTTCACCTCAATAGCCCGCAATATGAACAGGCATCAACGCCTGCAGCCTAAAAACATCCCAGAATTAATAAACAAAGATAGTGTTCACTCGCAAGGAGGAGCCCTCTTCCAACACCACTGCCAACAGAGGCGGAGAGTCGCCACAACTTTGCTCGATTCTACCACCGAATTCCCACTACGCGTGCATGCTTCGCACTCTACACAAAAGAAAAAACTTGTCCGCACTTAACTTCGCACAACTTTGCCTTTACACTGCTAAAGTACTAAAGAAAAGCTGGGTCCTCACGTAAACAAAAGCTCACTTATCGTGCACATGATAGGAAAAACAGTGGTGAACGCAGTGATAACAAAGCGCCAACAGCAGCAGTGTGGTGGGGCGTCTCAACTTCTGCAAGGCGTGCTTCATTTCGTCAATTAAGATGGCCAGCGCCATTCATGCACTCGCGAACAAGTTCATCGCACACTGCACTTGCAAAATTCACGGCGGACGACTGCGTCATTGCTTCCCTAACTCAGAGACACGATCTCTCAGTTGCACAAAAGCACACACAGCAAGAGAACGCGTCCCAGCATCTGCAATGCGCAGATCATTTCTTAATTAAAATGGCCAGCGTCCCTGGCCGGGCTTGGAAAGGGTCGCTGGCCATTTCATGAAATGCACTGGCCACTCGCGGCCACTGGCGAAATGCACCGCGGACAACACCAAACCCTCACGAAAAAATTGCAACTGTGGGACAAATTTTTCCACCAAATTTGGCAGCAGTCTGGCAATAACCACCTCTAAGTCCTGGCAACTGATTTATGCAACGCCAAACAGAACCTGCTGCAGTGTGGTACATACCTGGCGAGTGCTCCAGGATAGGAACCCACACATCTTCGCTTGAGTATAGCACATCTTCGTAATCAGCAGCACTGGCAAAACACAAAACCCAAACACAAAGCGCAAGCACACTTTTAAAACATGAGAAAATCGACCCAAACCCGCTCCTTCAAGAGGCGACTGAGTGGCAGGTAAGCACGTCCAGATAAGTAAAATTGCTGTAGCTGCGCATGCACACACTGCATTTGCGCATCTTAATTTCTTAATGCTGACTAGAGAGCTCAATTATTACATTTAATTATGTAAAAAATAAGTAAAAATATATACTACATAAATATGCTAAGCGAATATTATTTTGATTTAAAATAAAAGAAAGAAACATAGAAAACACCCTGCATATATTGCATGGACAATTGAGACTTCATCCTCGAATTCTACCAAAGGTTTTAAAGAATAACTTTTAGTAAACATGTTGAAAAAGTGTTCTTGTAAAGAACGTTTTTTCAAGGTCTTTGAAAAAACTTTCTTTGAAAAACGTTTATTCAAACGTTTATCAACGTCAAATATTATACCTAGATGTCCACATATCTTTCTAGTCATTTTGAGAAGTTTATACGACATTTCGTGTTTCTTGGGATGGTAGGCCCATAGGGGAAGTCGCCTATATGAAACACATAAGTATTTTTTGACTTCACAAAAATGAGTAAGCGCTACTGGATGAATGATTTGAACAAGTTTTTTTTTTTGAGGGGCAGCCGCGGCATTGGGCAGGATTGATGTGCTTTATTAAGTCGTAACTGACCATAGTTGCTTCAACTCTCAATATTCACAGTAAATTCCAGTATACCAGCAGGTCCTCTCACACAACAAGAAAAAATCACATTCCTTGGTAGCTAGATGCTTCAAGAAGGGTGGCAAAGACTGTGACTATCTTAGGCGTATATATAACACATTCCTCAAACAATAAAGGGGATGAAAAATGTAAACTGCAGTGGCACATCTGGGTAGGCTGGAGCTAAATTCTTGAAGAACGTCAAATTTTCCCGTTGAACCAATCTCACAATGAATGACAATTTTAGTTCGATTCTCTATTTTTATGTTCTGGTTATTGTTTATTGGTATTTACAATTACACGTTATACTAAGTTGCTAGCTTCATTTAATTAATTCCATATCCACAGCAGGTTGCTCTTTTAATCTGGCAGTATTCGGTCACGTGGGAGCAGGGCATTCGGACTGTTTCGAAGCTTAGTGCAGCTAGCTTGGTCTTCATGTCATCATTGTCATCATAAGCCAGCATATAGCCATAGCAGAGAAAGAACTTTTTTCATGTACCACCAATCAACCAGGTCGTATGCTTCTGGTGGCCAAGTTATCCCCACAAAGCTACTTAATCTCATCTGCCCACTCAACTTTCTGCGTCCTTTCTACGCACGTATTTCTCCTGGAGTCAAGAAAGTCAGTCTTAAAAACCAGTGGCTATATTGCCTTTCTGTCAACGTGCTACATGCCCAGGCCCATGCCCATTTCCTCTTCTTGATTTCAACTATGATATCCTCAAGCCCGGTTTGTTCCCTGATTCCACTCTGCTCTCTTCTTGTATCTTAAGGTTACACCTACCATTTTCCTTTTCATTGCTCGCTGCATCGTCCTTAATTTAAGCTGAACCCTCTTTGTAAGCTTCAAGTCACTGCTCCGTAGCTAATTGCCGACAAGATGCAGCTGTTGCATACCTTCCTCTTGGGGGATAGTGGCAATCTACCTGTCATCATTCGAGCGTGCTTGCCACATGTGCTCCACCCCATTCTTTTCTAGTCGCTTCAATCTCGTGGTTCAGCTCCACGGTTATTACCTGTCCTAAGTAGACATAGTCTTTTACAAGCTCTAGTGCACTATTACCAAACTCGAAGCGCTGTTCTCTTTCGAAGTTGTTGTACGACCTCGGAAGATAACCCCTGGTCATTAAGGGTAACTAGCCGGATTCCCAGAGAAGACAAGCAGGTTAGGGGTAGACAGAAAGTTAGGTGAGCAGATGAAATTAAGAAGTTTGTGGGTATAAAATTTTATGACAGCGGCAAGCACATGACTGAGTTGAATGGCGGAACACGGGAGAGGGCCTTTGGCCTGCAGTGGACGTAGTCAGGCTGATGATGATTATGATAATGATTAGGATGATGCTTTCGCGCTACACGTGCAGTCTATGTGCGTTTACTTTTACTAATTACGACTAAAGTGCTCTTAACACATATTCTTTTCCCTGCCCCACTCTACTCCTTTCTTGTTCCTTAGAGTTACACTTATAATATTCTTTTCCATTGCTCACAGCGTTGTTCTCAATAGTAGTTAAACCCTCATTGTTAGCCCACTTGGTTCGGCTCTGTAGATAAGCACTGGTAAGGTTCAGCTGTTATATACTTGCTTCTTGAGGGATAATGTGGTCTATCACGTCCGCAAAATGGGCCCTCAAACCGAGCTGCAGCTTAGAAAGGAACTGTGCGAGTGTGAAGACAATGCAGTGCCCTGCTCCCACGTGACCACATTCGGTGTTGCCACATCTCCGCAGAGATACCGACTCGCAATGAAAATCATCACTGGCCAAAAAAAGAAGTTTAATCATTCATTTGAGTATTATACTGGCGTACTGTCGAAGGCTTTACGGTGCTAGCACTAAGGGTGCGTGTGATGCTGTATACTGATCACACAGAGACAGCACGCCTCCTGCTGGCTCTTAACCGCTGCATGAGTCACAGTCTGGTGCGTGTACTTTGTTCACCTTCAGGAGGTGCTTAATCACCTGTACGTTGATACAAGCTTTCTGATGGCCAGTCGTCAACAAACGAGGAATGGCCACGCATTCGCGCTCGCGGCCTATGCCGTGGCCTGGAATCTTGGTGAAGAACACCTTGCACGGAGGTTACTCAGTGCAATGCTTGTCGACGATCCTCGTAAGTGTTCTGTGCTACTCATTTCACTATCGAGCTTGCAGTCTATGAATGAGAAAATAAAAACACTCATTCTAGAATTGGAGTGTTGCAAAAACTGCAAGAAAACATAAATGTACATTCAGAGCTGTGAAATCGATTGGCTTCAATTGATTTCTTTAGTCCTTGTGTTTTACAGAGATAGTGTCGTAGCTTGATTGATGTGCACACATATGCAGTAAAGAACAAAAGTAAACGAAGATACAAACTAATGACACTCAGGCTGGCATGTCACATGTGCTGTACCTCCTATATTAAAGAGGTATGAATTTTAGCTTGTTTGCTTGGCTTCATAACCTGAACAAAAAGAAACAGCATGGACAAATGGCAACAAGAAAGACTGACAGCAGTTGGCGTTGGCTAACATGGGCGGGTATTTTGTTTGTACAAGTATATACACTTCATCGGCAATATCAGTCAGAACCAGGTCATATTAGCCTTTCTAGATGAGAATTTCTGTTGTCAGAGTTGTTTCTTGTCATGAAACCTCCTATATTGTCAGTAGAGTCGTGACAAGGGGGAAGATAGCAGTTGGCTTGTTCAAGACAAAACTTCTTATTTGGGGAAACTTTTGTCTGAAAAAAAAACAAAAAGACTATGTACAAACAATTAACGCAGTGCACTGACAGCGATGAAAAATGTGTCGGCCGTTTCTTGGCCACTTCTGTTTGTCAAGTCAGAAAAAAAATGTAAATGAAATGATTATGTGCTTCTAATGACATTCTAGTGCTGGCCATTGGTTTGTCGGAAGTAAATAGTTCATTGAACGCACCATAAGGAGACTTCTGTCACCATTAATGTAAAAAAACATGTATAGTCACCACCTTACGTTCTAAAAGATGATGTGATAGGTACATCTGGATACAGAAATGGGGCAAAAGTGGCGACCCATGTTTGATGAATAAATGGGGTGGCCGTTCCCTCGGTGCCCCTTCCCTTCTTGTGTACACCTACCTTGACGTCTATGTGGGAATATATGTATGATTGCTGCGCTGTCAAAATTAAGTTTTCAGGTGTGCTCATTGCAATATGTCTTTAAGATAATGACAAACGGGACATTTTGTAAAGATTATAACAGCTTGACAGCAGCAAATGAATTATCATGCATAGTGACGAACATGATATCACTTTCGATATCCCTTGAATATTCAATCTCGTACATTATTCGGCTTTCACTATTTTAGTTCTGCCAAATGCTCGAAGTATGGGCACAGACAAGTCTTCCAAAACTGTTGAGGGCACGAGTTATGCTCTCCTTGCTCTACTGGCCGTACGCAGCAACGACACTGACACTATCCAAAGCCTCGTGAACTGGCTCAACGCCAATCGTCCATCGGCCAGCACTTCCTCTCTGAGACATGTGAGTTTGCTTTCATGCTTTGGCAAATAAATAAATAAATAAGTGCACTCTTTTTCTGTATGCTCAAACATTCCTTTAACACTTCTCCAAAATATCATTTTGCACGAACTCACTGTAGCATACAATTAAAACAATGTTCCTTCAAAGTTATGTGACCCGTTAAACATTGCGGTGATACTCTGTTCTAATTTATTTGCATCTTTTTTCAGTTCAGCCATTAGGCCCCAACTGACACGTGTGTGGCGTTTTGAATCCCTTCATTCCCTACTGGGAGATGAGATTCTGTACACACTTTGTAATTCTGTTGTGTACAACAGCAACATATAATATATTGACCACGCTTTAAAAAGAACGAAGTCGCTTGCGTCTGATGCTTATTAACCTGTGTCACTGCAAGGGTGCCTATAAGCAAGGGTTGTTAACCCATATTAACCCTTCTCACGTCGGTGCTTGGAAAGTACAGCTGCGTTCAGAGCCCCTTTGCGACAATGTGCACTGCTATCACTGATGACAGCCTCATTGCAGCAGCGACCTATGGATGAAGATTAACACTCACAGGGATCCTTATGCATTCACCTGAGAGGGACCCAAAGGCGAAAGAAATCTTGTTTATTTATGTTCTCGGTATATGTATTCATTCCACTCCGCCCCCTTCCGAAGCTTCTCCTCCGATCCTGGATGCTATGCCTCCAATCCCGTAAGCAATGGGAAACAAGGTTTTCCATTGCATCCAGGATCGAAGGCATAGCAAGCACTCCACACGTCACCTAGCTTTGCACTGCCTTCATGATCGGCCCACCTTCGAGCAAGAGACAATGTCATGTGATGACGTCTTCATGTTACGTCACGTCCAGATTACATTGAAAATTAAGGCAATCTTTGACGTCGCGATGATGTCGTGTGGTAGCCTGAGTGATGCTGCCCACGCCAACGGTGATCTTTCTTGCTGGATGAGGCATGCAAGAATTCATTCTTAACGCTTTTATTATTAATCGATCAAATTAGAGGGGTATTTTATTTGTGCAGCTTCTTTGCATGTTGGTGCCGCCGTGCCGCCACAGACTCGAATGCTGTGCTCACTTTTAATGCGACATTGAAAGACATGCCCATTACTGAAGTTATGCCTGCTGCCACACAGAAGCCAAAGCAGGGATCTCAAGCTACCTGAATCATTGTTTCAGGACAGTGCGGTGTCCCTCCAGGCGTTAATGGAGTTCGACTTGACGTCTTCCAAGCGGTACGTAGACCTCATGTGCAACGTCACGATGAGGGGACAGCAGGAATTCTACAAAAGCATTCAAATAACGCCCGAAAATGCAGCGGAGCACCAACAGCTGGATGTGAGTACCCTAATAAATCATATTGGCCCCTTAGATTGTCCCTAAACTAATATTTTTACATAATTTTATTTTTGTGAGCAGGCATTAGAGCTGATAGAATACTAAGTAACCAGAGTTGTGGAAACCGCTGTGTGCCAGGCATTGTCGTCTTTTTTCGTCACGTTCTCTCATCAAGCAACAACAATGAACTAAACCTATTTAAAACTTTAATGTTTACAGTGTTGCTTACGACTTCGGAGTGGAAATGTCGAAATCTTTCTCTTTACACTCCTGTAACTAGATGACGCTACAGCCGCTTCTGCCCACAGACAGTGACATACCAATTCTTTCGTGAGTGGGGGGGCAAGCCTACCTCACTTGTCAGCACGGATATATATATATATATATATATATATATATATATATATATATATATATATATATATAGGAACTTTTAAGAAAATTTATCAAAGCGACATTGTTGGCAAAACTTTGCTGTTGTAACATATCCTCGTAAAAATCTAAAATCTCATTCTCCCGTATTAGCATAATTGAGTAATTACTGTTGTGATGGACAACTACACCTTACTTGTTCAGTTTCCCCAGCGTGCTAGGTATTGCAGAATTACGTAAATGACTACACTTTTGCAAATAAATTAAGGCTTTTTGTTTGAAGAATTCGAGAATGTACGATACAGTACACAAAAACGCAAAGGTGGTTGCTTTTTGTTGCTGAATCAATGCTAAACCGAGACATACAATCTGTCATTTTAACTGCATGTAGGCAAATGTCTTACACAGCCGCTCATTTAAATGCATTGAAAGTAGTAGGTCATGAAAGCTTGTCTACACTTTCTCAAATTTCATAACGACAGCTATGTGCCGGAACGTTAAATTGTCAGTAGGTTGTAATTTAAGTGGTGAAGGTAACAACAGCTTACGACATGCGTCAAAATTTGGCTGTCACGTCATTTGGTCTGCAGATTCATGACATGTCGGGGACGCTCCTGGTGACAGCAAACGGAACTGGAAGTGGGCTCCTTTCTATTAGAATGAAATACAATGTTCTTATGCCACCAGAACTGTTATGCAAGGTAAGTTGTTTCTCTTCGAAACGGTTCAGATGGGGACCGCGGCTGACAGGACTAACCGTATGATAATACCTCCTCTCTATAAAATGGAAGACAAAAAAGTTAAAGCTGGTTCACGAGTCGAATCTGGGAAGCAGTGCGGAAAGCTGGCGTCACCACCTGTCAAAAGCTGACTGTAGTCGCTCTTCATTTTCTTTCTGTCATCATTCTTTCCCTATCTTTATGTACTTCTTTCTTCTTCTTTCTTTCATTTTTCTTTCTTTATTACTTTCTATGTTGCCTCCTCTCCTCCTTTCGCTCCTACTACACTATGCAAGGCTAGGCTGTGCTAGGAGTTTCTTGGCTTTTTCGTGGCACATATATCCACCAAGCTTAGGGAAAAAATGACTGGCTCAACATTAGCCTAATCAGCTCCATAGATAAAACTCGTTGTGCAGAATCATAACGAGGGCAAAGTGAAGTGAGTTGCTTTCACTTCACTACGTAAGGGGACGTTGACGTGATGCCCCTTTTTTACATTCTTTCAGCTACCAGCGACATTTCTAGTGTACTTGATGTCGTTCTTGGTCTATGCTCTGGCATAGCTGTTTTCAGGGTTTTCAACAATAACTGGACGGGTCCGACCACCTGCCACAGCAGTCTAGTGGCTTTGGTGCTCAATCGCGGGCACCGATATCACCGAATAGAATCCTGGCCAAGGCGGCTTCATCTGTAAGCAGGCATAGTGCTAAAGACGCGCATGCTTCGATTCGGTGCATGTTGAAGATTGATTGATATGTGGGTTTTAACCTCTCAAAACCACCATATGATTTGAGAGACGCCGTAGTGGAGGGCTCCGGAAATTCCGACTACCTGGGGTTCTTTAATGTGCACCCAAATTTGAGCACACTAGCCTACAACATTTTCGCCTCCATCGAAAATGTAGCCGCCGCAGCCGGGATTTGATCCTGTGACCTGCAGGTCAGCAGCCGAGTACCTTAGCCACTAGACCACCACGGTGAGGCACGTCGAAGAACCGTGGGTGGTTGGAATTTTCAGAGCCCACCACTACGGCGTCAATAATATCGTAGTTTTAGGACGCAAAACCCCCAAGTTATTATTGGGTCAGGTTTCCATAGGGTGGGCTCTGAGCCTGCCCTATATTATGAATGGCACTTTCACAAAATCTATGGACGTGAAGGAGAGAAATCACAATGGCATTTTCACTTGTTTTGCGGTTTCTTTGCATCATCTCGGAAATGTTTGTTGTTCCTGTTGTTGGGCGAATGCAATCATGATGAAATCCTTAATCCTGCCTTTGTGGCGTTTGTTTGGCTGTGTATGTGTCGTCGTAACATAACTGCAATAAATCAATTGTGCTGCATTACGTTTGCACCTTCACATGCAGTTTAACATAACCGTGCACGCTGACGTCCACAAGCCCAAACCGAAGAGCAATGAACCGGTCGATTTTCCGCAAGAGCTCTTGGATGATCTTCTTGGATTTGAGCGAGGTAAATTTGATTCCATGCGACATTTATATGCGGAAAAAAAATATTTGGATGAATTACATGTCATTTTCGCTTTTTTTTTACTTCAGAACGACGTTCTGTCAATTTTCCTTCTTCTATAAATGGTAAGTAGTACCCATGAAGTGGTTGCTCACTGATTACATGCTCATACAATGACATTTCACAAGTTCGCTTCAAGTTTAATATACTAGTTATAATGGCAGCGAACATATTCTCCCAATAACTCTTGTAGCTATTCTCACAATAACTCTTATTACAAGGTAAACTTTACAAAACTTTCATACTTTTTGTTCTCATTGAAGATTAGCAAGTTGGTAAGTATTGCTCACAAACATTTTAAAACATTTATTCAATTTTTGCATCAATATGAAAATTAGGAGACAAAGAGCGAAAACGGGGAATACATTAACAGGAATGGTAAAGGGGTCAATAAAAGGAGTGTTTGTTTCATACAATGTACCTAAAGAGAAAGAAGGGGACGTTGGGATTGCAAGGGGATTGAATTAAGCGAGTAGCAAGACACCGAATAGGAAGTAGACGGATATAGAGTATACCATGTACGTGGGTGGATACACGGAAACATCGGGAACAGTCACTAAAAACTATAAGCTCACGAAGTAACGTGAACGTCTTGTTGAGATCGCTTATCTGAAAGTCCACAACTGCTCAATGGTCCAACTCGGACAATCGGCATAGGCGTCTGCGGAAAACAAACTATTTACATGGCTTTTCGGCTGCCGGCTAAAATAAAGCGACACCGCGCTAGTCTGCTGCACTGGATTGGACTACACGTCGCCTTCACTCGACGCTGCACGCGTCTTATGGGCCTGAGCTGCGGGCGCCGCCAAGTGGTTGAAACTGTCAACCATCATTTATTGTACGAGTGTCTTCTCTACGTGTCCAAATGGAAGACACTGGCTTCAAGATTGGTCGGCATCGCTTTTAGCACTTCAAGCGAAGCTAATCTATTGACTTCAATGTGCAACCAGACAGCATCAACGACTGCGACAAGAGCGTTTATAGATTTTTTCAAGGGTACTTGACTTGACGCCATACCTTGCCATAGTCTTTAAGAAGAACACTGTTTTACGTGGTTATTGAACACGCACATCACTCCTTTCTGTCCCCATCAACGTCTTTATCACTCTTTTCCTTCATTTCTTTTTTTCCTCTGTGCTGAGGAGCAGGGCAGAGCACACAAGCCCTGACCGACCTCTCTGCGTTCTAATAAATTCGCTCTCTCTCTCTCTTGGCCTCTATTGGTGCAATGAGCATATTGGCATTACGTGCACTGCAATAATAAATGAGAGCTTAACCACGAACGTACTCCGAGTACCCGAGTAGTTTTTTTATTTTTGCCGACACATGCAAGGAACTTTTTATGCTTCAAGCGCATAATATATATTGTGCATCCAGTTAAAAAAAAACTGGAAGAATCCACTACCATTCTTCTGTAACTAATTTAGGGTGCGTTTTAGACGATAGACAAAAAGAACGTCATAGAGCGCGAGCGCTCGTGTTGCTTGAGCATTCGTTTCTTTTTGTAGCATGATACTTGGTCGTCAATACCACTGGTAGGTTACAAGAAAGTGAAATACCTACTGGCAGACATATTCATTCTATATTGTTGTCATTAATCAGTTATGCTGTATCTCTATTGTGACATGAATATTTTTTTTTCACTTAAAATAGGGGCTTTTTTAGCAAGTCAAAAGACGAAAAGCCTGTCAGAGGCTCATCTGCCTACGAACAGTCATAGCGTTCGGCAGTCTGCTGCACTGGAGTAGCCAGGGAGAAGAGGAGGAGTGTCCAGATGATTCAATGCTCCCCCCTTCCTTTCGAAAATTTTTTTTCAGTTCTACATTACTTTACAAGATTGTACATATTACAAAAATAGGTAATCCATCACAATTATTTCCTATAAAATACATATAATTGTAGTTGTCAAATACAACTTCAGAAAAGCAACTCGGAAGTTACGGAAAGGTAGATTGCTAAAACTGCTGCTTCGGTGAGTCGATTTATGACTAAGATAGATTTACCAGTGCAAATAGAAGAAAGACATAAGGAACGCACAGACACAGCACTGAACTCGCAACTTATTTATTAGTTCGAATGCAAGGCCTTTTTCAAGGCATGCATCAAAGCAAATGAAAGATGACGTGATAAAATGAAGCAATGAAAAACCACCACCCCGCCCCCTTTGGCTGGCAAGATCTGGCTCAATACAGAGATGTCGTAGTCGCATACTTTTCGGAACTTCAACTGAACAGCCGTAGAAGACTGGCATCAGCTTTATTTTAGAAAGCAAAAGCAATTCATTACAAGTGTTCAATTACAAAAAAATGTAATTGAATTACCCTGAACATAATTCTCAAGAAGGAATCAATTATGTTACAAAATGATGAGGAAATGTAGTTAATCAGAAGTAAATTATTACTTGTAATGCGGGGTGTAAATCTCATATCTGGAAACGTACTAGCGCACAAGAATGGAGGCACAAACTTAAAGTATTTTTACCCCCCCCCCCCCTTATTCCACCAACTGGTAAAAAATCTCTGGTTATCCTATTGGTTAGCAGCAACATCTCTTCAAAGTGTTAAAACTTAACGAAGTTCGAAACACACATGATGGCATAGACTCTGAGCGTTGCAATGAGCCTATGAAAGGTCATGTTCACACCAGACAAAATCACTTCAGGTCTCAAAAGCAGGCGATGGAAGAAATGCTTTGTTTTTGTTCAAGTTGCCTCATTGGTGTTTTTTTCCCTTTTCATTCACTGACAGAGCACCATCGCACCACTAGATCATCAAACCAGCCACAGCAGAGCAAGCTAGTCTACGACATCGAAGTGTGCTCGCAGTAAGCAACATTTATGCATATCTGTGATTAAGACGTTTGCAGAGATTATGTGGCCTACGCAAACACAGGACTGGGTTGATTGGCACCATAGAGTATAGGCAACGCCCTGCCTTGCGATGGGTGCGATTAGTTCGACCATGATGGGGATGTATTTCTAGAATACATACAGTTCGATGGCCCAGGCACACGAGAGGTCTACAAAACCTGTGATGGTGGTTTAATTAGAATTGTCCTTTTCTGAAACTTCTGAACGTCAGTGGGGAACTTAAAACCTTCAGAATACGGCTGCAGTGAAGTGTAGAAGACTTGGTGTCTCAGACCACATCTTTCGTGAGACCCAGGAGCCAATTTAGCTCGTCCTCATTAACATCTGTGCGAAATGTAGTTATCATGAGCGTAGCTTTTGATGACATGCAAAAATCACTGTCTGGTTATCACCATATCTTTGTTGCGATAGCAACTCTATCAACACTCCAGGCTTATTGTTACCATCAATGTCGGCGTCATCCTGGGGTTCCGTATAAACGGCATGGTTGATAACACCTCCCCGCGCGTCCTATGTTCTATGGGCTAATCAGAGCGCGCAAGAATAGCCAGTGCAAGGATAGCTGAAGTAGAGTGAATACGCGCCGGCTGTTTTCCATAATGCAAAAGAACAATAAGAATTCCTGGATGCGGGGCTGTGTGGCTTCGACAGGAGCTGCGTAGGGCCCGGTTGCGCGTGCCATATGTCAACAGCAAGGTACGGTTGCGGCGGGGCGCGACAGCAAGGCGTAGTTGCGCACGCTCAATGTTGGCAGAGATCAGCTTATGGCTCATACCTTTGTACGTGCAGTGTTCTCATCGCATAGTGTGCGTTTAAGCAATTTACGCGTTAAGGGAGCTTGACTAGCTGCATCGACAGCATTTCCTTACGCTAACGTTTTGTTGAATTGAACCTTGTTGGCTGCTGAAGGGCTTAGCTGCTAGTCTTACTTGGCATAACATTCTCCTTTGTTTCTATCGCATTCATTACCTCAACTTTACGGAAAAGTTGTCAATTTTTGTACGTGTGCCTGTCTTAGGAACCATGTGAAGTAACTGAATGTCTTGCCTTAGGTATATTGGCGAGTCGGACTCCAATGCAGCCGTCATAGAAGTTGGACTGCTCAGTGGCTTCGATCCGGTGGTCGAAGACTTAGATACGGTGAGGAGCGGTTTTATTTCATTTCTCTTTTTATCTATTTACACATGTACACTAAACCAATGAACGCTTCATTTACTTGTTTGACATTTGGATATTAGTCTATAGCTGTACTTACGGCATACTTTCTAAAGTTTTTCAAAGCTGTGCCTGCACGTCTCCCACCCAAGGCCATAACACTTCGAAGAAGGCAAACTTTAGAAACAATCCTGCTTTGTGCATCAGATTTAGGCAGGTGATCTTACAGGCCTCATACTTCCCATTGTTTCCAATGCAGGTATGGAAATTATGTATGGAGAGCATGCAATGACATGGTAGCGCTGCCTAGGCAGCATCCTTTTGAGGCCACACGTGTGCTTTTCGCAGCAGGTGTGGCCAATCGAAATTGCTGTGAATGCTACGTACAAAATACTTTGTTACGGCAGAGCTGCTTCAGGTGGACGTAGATCCTTAGAGATCCGTCATTCGAACTTTCCAGCCTATCTGCAAAAGTGAAGCCCGACGAGAGAGCGAGCATGGGTAAAACTATGTGGCTGAGAGCGAAGCCTGGTGTAGCGAGTTGAGCCTAGTAGAGGAAGGGTAGCGACGTGGAGAATTTGAAGCTGGCTAGAGAGGAGGAGAACAAAGGCGAAGGTACGGTGGAAAAGAGCAGGATTGTGATTGGCTGTGCCGGTGAAAGGATTCGACCAACCGTAGTGCGTGCTCTAGCAAAGGTGCTGCTGGTTGAGAGAGGAAAATGAAGGACGCGCCAAACGTTGGGGAAAGCGAAGCAAAGAAAGGTGCGCTGATATCACCAGCTCTATTGTTTAATCAGCTTTCATGACATAAAGAGAGTTGAGGCTGTGCATAATTTTTATTGCGATAGCATTAATGGGAATATTTTCAGAGTTATTGCCGTCGGCGTCCTTGCTGTCGTGATGTTCCGCATAAAGTTCAAAAGATAACGTCACCTCACGCATTGCATGTAACGTGTGAGCGCAGTCGACAAACACTTATCTAGCGAAGAGGTAACATTCCGGCTGTCTTTCATCACTGGAAAAGCCCATGGTGCGGAGTGGCAGCCGCAAGGCTCCGTTCTTTGCCTGGTAGGGTGCGGTAGCATGCCCTAATCTTTGCATGCGTCAGAAGACTGCTTACTCCTTCGTACGTACTGATCTCTCCACTAGGTTTGTGATGAAGTGATAGTACGAAGCTCGCTTCGCTCACCGCGTTCGTCGTATGTCCTTGTGGTGGCGTTTTGTGGAGTTATAGTGTAGATGCTACAGTGGACTTCTGCTAGCTATATACTTTGTATAACATTCTGATCGGATGCTATCACATTCATTGAATTGCTCCTTCGGCGAAGCTATGACTTTTCCACCCATTTTTGCTTGTATTGCCATTGCAACTGTAGCCGTGACACTTTTACAGGTGCAATACATTGACTCTTGACGCTCCACTTTTCTGTCAAGAGTGGACGCATTAGGGGCGAGCGCGTACGGCAACATAGATTGCTTGCGAAACTCGGCCTCCTAATATTTGCCCCCACAGGCAAGACTGGTTAAGAAATTGACGACACTGATGCCGTTCGCCCACACTGGCAGGGCTGTATAGTTACATTGCATAGTTGAACATGTTTGTGATGTATATACATGTCTAGTTACATGTGTTTTGTGATGCATTATCTGAGAATGACAAAACAATATTATGATTTTTTCGTCTCGCAGGCAATAAATAGCAACTTGCATCTGTACAAATATCTTGTCACCGAGAAAAAAGTAATCCTGTATTTTAATCAGGTAAGCCTTCGATTATATTTGCCAAGCTTTAAATCAAATTTGCATTGTGAAACGAGTGCTTATATAAGGATAAGGTTGCAGGTGCTTTTTTAGTGATTACGTAATTGACGCTTTTTCTTCTATAGTTCGTGAAAATGTGTATTGAAGCCTAAGCAGATTAGTAACATTATGAAATACTATGTAAGTCATGTATGTTAACTCGTTTCGTATACTGTGGCTTCATGTTCGATGCTATGTCCTTAGTTTAGACTTGTGTATCTCCCATAGGAGCAGAAAAATAATGGTAATTTTATTAATACATAAGACAACATGCTCACTCGTATTATTGTATTCAATGCTAATTGAATACAAGAAATAAATTGTTTCTTTCTTGTTTAAGTTAGATGCAAATGTCATGGAAATCACAATAATCATATTCAACACATGCATTAAGGCGAAGTTGCGACTTGTATCTGGGACGGCTTATGCTCTCTCGTAGTAGAGTATGAAGCACTCTAAATCGTTGAACAATTTTTCAAAACACATATTCCTTGTAGAAGGGAAAGCGGTGACTATGGCTGGAGGTCATAGTCATCATTACATTTTAAATTTCTTTTTTATGTTTTTACATTTCTTTCTTGGTTTTTCCCCTAGTGTGGTGGCCTCTAGGAACTGCTTTTTTTGCTGTTGTTGTTGATCCACAGATTCCGAGGGAAGCAGCAAGTTGCGTGCAATTCAGGACAGAACGCAAGCACGTCGTTCACAACATACAGTCGGCTGCGGTGAAAGTCTACGACTACAGCGACCCCTGTGAGTTTCTTTGTTTTCGTTACGTGGCACACACATGGAGGCGCGATGACCTGAGTCAATAGAATAGAACGCATATGTTTTTAAAGGTCCACTCCACAGGCTCCGACTTTTTATTTTATGCCCCCCCAAATCAGCTCGGCGATTCGTATGATAGACCGCGGCGATCCCGTTTTAGGCACTGCACGCCACGCAGAGCCTCCAATCAAAAAAAACGATTCCCGCGCTCCTTTCCTATATGCCTGACCAATCCTCATTTCACGTGCAGTGATGCAAAGTCACGTATCGGTGACTTGACGTAGCACGCAGCTCGTCGATTGGCGTAAACCAGTCACGATGACGGGCTTTGCTTTCCCTTCCCTGTGATAGAGAAGAGTGGCGAGGGGGTGAGAAAATTTGAAACTAGATGGAATCCAATTTCTAACCGCTGTAACTTCCTTATAATATAGCACGTATTCGCAAAATTTTTGCGTCAGCATGTTCACAAAACACAAGGGCAAACATTTCTCTTGATAACAACTTTTGGACGTCGGGGTTGTTTACTGGTTTTTATAGCAGCATTATAATTCATCTTTGTATATAATTTCACTGTGGAGCTGTGAATGAAACACCTTCTTGATGATGTGGTGTCCGTACTAGTCTACAAGAGACTCCTAAAAGTATCCACCTTGGTGGATCAGTGGCTAGGGTGCTCGGGTGCTGAACCAAAAGTCACAGGTTCGATCCCAGTCGTGGTGGTTGCATTTCAATGGAAGCGAAATGGTGAAAGGCCCGTGTACGGTGCGATATCAGTGCACGTTAAAGAACACTAGATGTTTGAAATTTCTGGAGTGCTCCCCTACGGCGTCACTCATAATCATATCACTGTTTCGGAACGTCAAACTACCCATACTATACTCCTGGCGCCCCCATGATGAGTGCGCAAGCCGCGCGTCCACTTCGTTTTGGCGGAGCAGCAAGCTGCACTTCCAATTGGGGCTGCAGAAGTAGCATCTTTTTTTTTTTCCTCAACCTCTCCTCCTCCTAAGCTCGAGTGACTAATAACGAAAAATAAGGAACTCTTGCTCTATCTCGAAAATTGTGGAGGGTGGAGCGTTGTGATCACGGACTTGAGTAAGCACCAAGTACTCTTTCCCCTTTTTCTTTTTATTGTGTTGTGTAGTACGAACCGGTCACTCGACTTCAATTCGTGAATTTTGTAGAGTGTAAATATGTTTAGGCAAATACGTATACTGTCCATAATTCACGTGTTGGCTGAATCGCTATGCTTTTCCCTTCATTCGATACCATATAGGGCCACACCTCCATTTGGCGAGCCCCGCCGCAGTGGTACAGTGGCTACGGCACTGTACCACTGCGGCGGTACGGTTTAACCAGAAGGTTAAACAGAAACTTTGCTGACAGAGAGAAAGAGGAAGGTTCTATTTACACACCCTTCAGTAAGTGACTTGAGCCCCCGTAAGCTCCCTTTCCTGGTACGCCACTGGTGCCCACAATGATGATTTGATGCTTAGAGACATTAATCCACAGATTTTGATTGGAAGTAGCATACACAAACAGATTTCTGCTCAAAATACATCAATCCAACTCCCCCGAATGCCATTGTGGTCATGCAAAAGAAAAGGTTTGCCATATTCTTTCAGTATTTCGAGAGGCTGGGCTCCAACTTAATTCTTCGAAATGCCATTTTGGGCATCGCCAAGTTACTATTCTAGGGCATCTCGTTGACTCCTCCGGCATCCGCCCCGATCCCGACAAAGTCCGAGCTGTCCTGGATTTTCCTGTACCGACTTGTGTCAAGGACGTTCGAAGTTTTGTGGGCCTATGCTCATATTTCCGACGATTTGTCAGAAACTTCGCAGAGGTCGCACGCCCCCTCACTGATCTTTTGAAGAAAGATGTACCATTTGAGTGGGGTCCTGATCAAGGCACGGCCTTTTCCCAGCTCATAACACTTCTGACCACGCCACCGATTCTCGCCCACTTCGACCCGTCTGCTCCAACCGAGGTCCGCACTGATGCTAGTGGCTACGGTATTGGCGCGGTTTTAGCCCAGCGTCAATCCGGTCACGATCGAGTTCTTGCGTATGCCAGCCGGCTCCTTTCTCCTGCCGAACGCAATTACTCTATTACGGAACGCGAGTGCCTGGCGCTTGTATGGGCAGTTGGTAAATTCCGCCCCTATTTATATGGCCGGCCTTTCACAGTTACCACTGACCATCACGCTCTATGCTGGCTTTCAGCCCTCAAAGATCCAACGGGGCGCCTTGCTCGTTGGGCTCTGCGCCTCCAGGAATTCACATACACAGTGGTTTACAAGTCTGGCCGTTTACACCAAGACGCCGACTGCCTCTCTCGGTACCCCGTTGACGCTCCAGATCTAGTAACCGACGACGCGTCCATCTGTATTTCCTCGCTCTCTGCTTTCGGCAACATGGGATGTGAGCAACGGCGTGACGCGTCCCTACGCGAGCTAATCGACCGCCTGAACACAGGCTGTACAGACAGTTCGCTTCGCATGTTCGTTGTCATAGACGGCATTTTATACCGCCGCAACATGCACCATGTGGGAAACGAACTACTACTCGTAATACCCACTCATTTGCACTCGACCGTACTTCAGCAACTACATGATGTACCAACGGCTGGCCACCTTGGTGTTGCCAGAACGTACGACCGTGTCCGCCGACGCTTTTTCTGGCCCGGCCTCTACCGTTCTGTACAACGTTATGTTAGGTCTTGTGAGTCGTGCCAACGCCGCAAAAGGCCAGCGGTACACCCCGCCGGGCTCCTTCAACCGATCGACGTACCTGCCGAGCCTTTCTATCGTGTCGGCCTCGACCTGCTGGGCCCTTTCCCTCTTTCTACCGACGGTAACAGGTGGGTCGCCGTCGCCATAGATTACTCGACCCGTTTCGCAATTACGAGACCTCTTCCAAGCAGCTGCGCTACAGATGTCGCCGACTTTTTGATTCAAGACGTCATCTTACATCATGGTGCTCCTCGTCAACTGGTCACCGATCGCGGTCGCTACTTTTTATCTAAGGTAATTGACGATCTACTTCGTTCTTGTGCAACCAAGCACAAGCTTACGACGGCCTACCATCCTCAAACAAACGGCCTCACAGAACGTCTGAATCGCACACTCACTGACATGCTCGCCATGTACGTGTCGACGGATCATCGTGACTGGGACATTGCGCTACCCTTTGTCACTTTCGCTTACAATAGCTCACGCCACGACACTGCTGGATATTCTCCCTTTTACCTTTTGTATGGAAGAGACCCGACGTTGCCATTCGACACGCTTGTACCCAACCCTGCCGACCTGTCCACAGCATATGCTCGCCGCGCTATTAGCACCGCGGAGAAAGCCCGTCAGATTGCCCACCAGCGCCTTTCGGACTCGCAGCTCCGTCAGAAACGTAGCTATGACAGCCACCATCGGGACGTCCACTTTAGTCCAGGTGACCTCGTTCTTCTGTGGACTCCGTCGCGACATGTTGGTCTGGCTGAAAAGCTTCTACCCAAGTATTCCGGACCTTATCGTGTGCTACGGCAGGTAACTGATGTTACCTATGAAATAGCACCTCTAAACCCTTCGATACCTTCCACATCTTCCGACATCGTCCACGTCGCTCGCCTCAAGCCGTACATCTCGTCCAACACCTGCTAACAAGCGCCGGGTCGGCGCTTTTCGCCGCCGGAGGTCGATGTTGCGGGTTCGCGGCTATGCAGCTATGCGGGCGGTGCGAAGAAGAAGACGACGACGTTTTTTGGGGCTGTTCGAAAATACACAACGGCTGCCATCTTGACTGCTGGAGTACTTTTCTACTCTAAAGTAGTAAATACATTCGCAACAATATATATGAAATGTGTTGGGGCACACGCTGGCAGTAGAAAATGGAGGTGCGTGTGTGAACAGTTTATGTTAGTGTGAACTGCTGCAAGCAAACTGTGCATTGGCATGATATTTGAACTGGTTTCAGTGTGCTATTATTTTTTTTTTCGGATTGTTCATCTTTGGGTACTGTCCAGTATTATTCTTTTTTTGCAGCAGAACTTATTGATATGGAGTAGCCGAGGCAATATAAACCTCAACCTCTACACAGCAAAGCAATTAGAACAGAACAGATTTGATGCTCCCTTCTATTATAGTACTGAACATGCTTAACCATCTGAGTGAACTAAATTGATTAATGTAAGTAGAACTGGTTATTGCACATGTAAAATGCAGAAATGTGCCACTTTATACACTTTGTCGTATCTACTAGAAAATTATTTGTGTGATTGCCGTATCGCAATTACAATTAAATGAGTAGTCTTTCTTGGCTTCGGCAGCAAAGCCGAGTTTCGCCGCAAGGGCGAAGCAATGACTGTGATTGCAACAAATTGGATTGCCACACTAAGCACAGCAAGCAGCTCGAAAGTTGCAGAGCGCTGCTCAAGCACAAAACAAGCGTGAAAAGTGCACTTGCAGGACGAGCGTGAACCAACAACGTTCACAGCTCCACACTTAAAGCGCACAGCTCAAACACAAAGAAGGGCGCACGAAATGTGCGCATAGGTATACACAGGACGGGCATTAACTAACAAATCCCACAAATATTATGTCGCTGTGTTTGAGCAGCGTGCTTCTTTTGCAAACCATGCCATTGCAGTGGGCGAAGTGGCTGGTTTTCATGCGCTCAGGAATCTACACACAAACTTGCTGGTGAAAACACAAGACGTACAATGCATTCCATCACGAGATATACACACACGCGTGGTCGACCACGCTCTGCAGGGCAAGGTACAGGTGTTAGACGAGCGCCCGCATTGCATCGACCGAGGCGTCAACCTCTAAAGCGCGATTTTACGCCATCTCGCCGATAATCCTGAGAGCACACTGAAGTGCCCCCAGGTTGGCGTGCGACCAGCGGTTAATGGTGTATCTAAATAGCTCACTCTTAATACGCAGAAGGGCACACGCTTTCGTGAACGAGTCATATAGTGTGACACGCTGCAGAGCGAGAAAAGCATGTTCGAATCTGTACGGCATTCTATATATATATATATATTCGAGGCATGACGGCGATGGTAAATTGACGCCGTCGGCAAAAGCACCGCCAGCCAGGATTATCTATGTAATTGTTATCGGAATTAAAGCAGAATATATTGGGAACAAGTAGTGAGTGGTGGTGTATACCTGTAAACCATGTTTTGCAAGCCATGTGACCGAGCTATGTTCTTTTTCGACAGCCCGCTCGTGCACCCAATTTTACGGACTTGAAGCGACTAGTCCCCTACTAAAGGTGGCCTGCACAGGAAATAAGTGTCAATGCATAGAAGGTAAGCACTCATTCAAGACTTGACAGCTCTCTTGTGCTGCCTAGTTGTAAATGTTGAACTTGATTTCAGCTGATAACGAAGCTTGAGAAGAAGTTGCCAAATCTGAAACCACGTTTTCAAGTAATCATCGAATGGCCTCGCTATTAGAGATTAGTGCCTCAATGATTGGTCGCCACAGATTTTTTTTTCTAAATCGCGATGAACGTGCGGAGTCACCGGGATTTGTTGAAAGTATTAAGCCATTTCTGTCTTTTCTTTCGGACGAATGTGCGCTTAAAGCTACACAGGCATAGGGGACATGGGGAGCAGAAGGTACGTGAACACGTGTCATGACCTTTAGTGGGGGGGACGAAAAGTGATCGATGTTTTCTATTGTGATTCCTATTGCGCTAGTGGGGCTACAGTGTAATGTTGGCAGATTAAGGGGAGGCACAAACTTTATTTTTCTTAAATGGGACTTATAATGGGGTAGCCAGATTGGACGAAAGTTGGACAGATTGGACAAATGCTAGGGTCGCAACACAAGCAGACCAGCTTGGCCTGCTATGCAAGTTTGTACTCCTTAAGGACTTCTCCCAAGATAGAAATTCTACCATTGCCAAAAATTATGGGTGGTCTAAGGCATTGACAAGCTCAGCAGGATGCGCTCAAAGAAGCACTGGAAAACGAAACAGAAGTGTATGTACATAGACGCCAGCCATGCTAGCAGGAAAAATTATGTTATTGCATTGTGTTATTCGTATAAACCAATGTGACCACTTTTGGTTTTCCAATGGTCATTTTTACAACATAATGATAACAAAATCATTTATTTGCCATGCTTTAAAAACCTTGATGTTATTTTCTTTTCTGCAGCTGAATGTCCGCGAAGACATCCTTTCCTCAATGTCACAAGTGTGATACCAGAACAAATAAAGAGACAAATTCTGCTAGAGATAGCCTGCAAGGAGCATGATTTTGGTGAGCATTTATTCCTTCATTTTACTCTCTATTTATCGTCAAAACAAGATAAAGAAAAGCTGCTTATTAAGTTACTATGCATTCATGTACAAGCTGTATAAATGTCTATAAATGGTTGACTGGTGGTTCAGCACTTCACATGAAATTATTACACTTCCTTATTACGGGCCTTATAAATTCTGTCACCAACTCTTACTTTATTGAAATATTTATGAATGAAAAATAAGACAAGTAGGATTCATAGCGGGTGATGCGACCACAGACTTCTTATTTGTAGCTGTTTCTGCTGCAAAAAAAAATATTATCTTGAAACGTTTTAGATATCCAATGACTGTGTAACAGCTCATTTTGCTTGTAGAAGCATGCTGGAGCAGCTATAGTTTTTTTTTTTAAGGAAGTACATTGGAGAAGCAAGTTGCATTTAAACTCGGACACCTGAATAATTGTTATGAACTCTTGAAGAGAATTTCATAATTGTCTAATTTCTTGTAAATCTCGTGGAAGGAAATCGAGTTAAACAATGAATTCCTTCCAGGGCATTCATTATTTTTTTTATTACGCAAATGTAAAGCCGTCGCGCAAACGGATGTTGTGGAATGACCTATTCAGCTATCTTTTTTGACAAAAGCAAAAAAACAGAATATTAGATCAATAATACTGCGTAATATGAACTAACAATTTAAATACAGTTATGTAGTCTCCAATATGCAGAGCTCCTGCTGCAAATCTATATAGTATTGATGCTAATCAGGAGAAGCTACAGTAAAATGCCATGACATACAAAAGCACCTCAACGCATGGGCATCAGCAGTATTTGGAGGTGGGGGAGGGAGGTCTTTGTTACATCAGCAGGGTAGAAGAAGTAGCGCTTTCAGCATAGTGACTTCTGTCACAATTTGCATCAGTTTTATCACGATGATGCAGTCAATCAAATTTGGCGCATTTGGAACAGGGGTGGCATCCCTGCATAGCTACAACTGACTTGTGCGTTCAATGAACTCGTAAAAGAAACGTGTATAATGATTGACGTCGTGATCAGTTCAGAACAGATGTAACACCTGTAACACCTGTAAATGCCCACAAAGCACATTGCTGTATATACTTAAATTCTAATCACTCAAATTCATGATAAACAAATGAAAAAGAACTGATGCATAACACTATATAAGTAGCATTTAAACATTTGACAAGTTCGGGAAACAAGATGCATGCATTAAACATTTCAAATTAAACAAAGATCTCACGCATCACCTTCAGCGTAAATATTGAATGAAGTTTCATTTTGTGTTCGCCATGCAATCATGTCATACCATACAAGCTTTGCAACATGCCATGTGAACGAAACCACTGCAAGAGCTGCAGCACCATGAAATGTAAATCATGACATGCATGACATCATGATTTTCATGTTACGACTTGTCAAATATGTTTTTTATACAGTCATGTTATGCCATACCAAGTTTGGCATTGATACCATTATCAAAACGGCCAGGAAAGCTAAAAGTCGTAAGCGGCTAGATAGATAGATACGCTCAAAGTCGCTGAAGTTCACTAAGAAATGCTTCGCATTTAAAATCCCTGCTTGCTTTTGAACCTACCAATTTGCAATCTAAGCAAAATAACACAAAGTATCTGGTCAGCAACGCAACGTAACACTTTTTACAGGTACAGCATTACTTACATGATGTAAAACATGCTATATTTTCTGGTTAATATTAGTCACAGTAGGAGAATGTTTCTCTCAAGCCCAACTAATACGTTCCGTGTGACATTTTGAAAAATCCCACATGTTTCCGTAAGGCTCCCACAGAAACGTATGAAGTCGTGCTTAAAACATGTAGCATTCCGTAGTCTGCATTCTGTAAGAAAACATGCAGGGAACTGCTGGAATGGCATACGAAATGTCTCAGTAGAGACGTGACAACATACGAGAATGTCTGTATTCAGTGATTTTCCTTCCTCTTTACATGCAGTGTGGATTGGAAGTGTATCTGGGAACAGCGTCCTTAATGGCTTCCGTCACGTACAACTACGTGTGAACACGGTGCTCAAAGAAGGTAACGAGCATGACTATACGTACTCATGCAGCGTTTCGTGCAAGGCGCTGTTAGCTTAGCACAACTGAGATGATCACACTTTGTGAGATGATCATAGTTTGTCGCGTACACTGTCGATACAACCGTATTTATTGCCGGAACAGTTGAAAGTGTATTTAAAGACACAACCAATGAGGTTCTAAAGAACATCAAGACTTGGGCAGACATGAATTGCCTAATAATAAATTCATGGAAAACAAAAGCAATTTTATATTGACCCAGAGGGAAAACAGTATCCCAACGATTGATCGTGCATCTGGATAAAGACTTGACAGAGTTCGTGACCAGCGTAAAATATCCTGGCGATATATTTTTTTTTTTCGGAACATTTCACCTGAAATGAGCAAATGAAATACGTATGATAAAAAATGTCTAGCGCTGTTGGTGTCATAGGAAGAGTGCGACGCATGTTTGCTGTTAAAAGTTAAACTGTACAATTCTTTGGTAGCTACTCATTTTGAATATTGCAGTATTGTCTGGTTTACCACTGGTATCACAAATTTTAAAAAGGTTGCAAATTTTCTACGAGAGAGCCATCTATTACATAGCAAATATACTTCAAATTTATTCTATGGTTGAACTTTTTTTCTAAATACAACATTATGCCAGTATTTATTTTTGATTGCAGGTTCACATTGATGTACCGTTGTTTCCTGAAAAAGAAATAAAACCTCATTCTCACTTCAGCAAAGCTGAAAGAAAAAAGGTCTATCAAGGATACCAGATCCAGGGAACGGTGGGCTGTACCCACCCCTAGGGCATACGGTTGTACAGAGTCATTGAGTTACACTGTGCCTAAACGATTCAATCTACTTTTCAATAATGACTTCGATCCTTCTGTCACATCTAATGAAGATATCAAGCGTTACTTTATGGGCAAGATCCCCACAGAATACACAGCACACAGGATTGAATTTACCCTCTGCTTTAGTCTGTTTCTAATGTGTTAAGCAATGTGCTTTTAGCGAAAGTGTAGCTACTGCTTATTTTAACTATTTTATAATTTTCAACTTTGATTACCTAAAGTATTTTAAGTCTTCGATTGCATATATATCTATGAATGTTCACTGCACTGCCATGTACCGGAGAGTCGGGACCCTTCTCAGGCCGCTTGTGCGGCTGTTAGTCCCGTCCCCTACTTTTTGACAAAGAAAGTAAAGACCCACTTTAAACTTGAAAAATAGTGGAGAGTTTTTGCAGGTGCAGTATTCTGGTACACACAGTGGCAGCATAATGTCGTGCTGCCGGACGCCGATAGTATAGCATGTCGTGCCACTATCATGTTGTACAACCTCTAGGTGTCTTGCACAACCACAATGTTTTTGCCTTATATGAGTGTCAAAATGGGTTACATAGGCTACGTGTCCTCGGTATAGTCCCAATGGCGAAAATTTTTCACCGACAATGATAAACGTGCACCATAGCTTGTTCAATCCAACAATAAGTTTCTGTCTAACTTACACGTATTCTACCAGGTGGTATCACAACATTTGTGCTTCCATAAACTGTAAGGCCGAAACAGGTGGGAAGTTTGCATATCTATACTAAAGCTGTGTAATGAGGCGAGATAGCTTTGTTGAGGCCAGAACTTGTCATGGCTGTATATTTAAATGCGCAAACGAGGTGTTTGATAATATATATCAGATGAGTATCTAGACTGCACGGTGCAATTTGCCTGCTGATAGTGTTTGCTTAGTTTAGGTCGAAGTTAACACGAAATTTTTTTTCAGTCAAGCATCGTGTTTAAGCACTGCTACAAGAACCACATGATTACGTCACACACGCCACAAAATTTAGCATAGTCAGCAAGCTATCTTGTAAAGGTGGGGCATAGCTGATACCAAGGTATGGCTTGTTGCAGTCTTTTCAAATAGTTACCTTGCTATGAAAAAACACATGCATCTAGTGGGTCACAACTACACGACTGTGCCGTCATGGGCTGCTAGCAAGGTATATTGTATAATACTGCCTTTAGTTTTTTTCTAGCTTGCTAGTTTACCAACACAGTGTCCTGAATAATTACATATTTGTAATTTAAGACAAGTATATAAATCAGTAAACCTCACTTTGTTCGTAATTCATTGCAGTGCCCTTTCAGATCTCTTCCGACTTGGACTGAATGTAAAATGGCAAATTATTGTGCGCAGGTAGTGCTATAATTTGAAATTGTTTATATATTCCTAATGATTTGACTATTGTGCTATTTACTTATGGCTGAATGAAGAAAACATCAACTTGCATGCATGAGAGTGCATGATTCACAGTGACAATAACAATCACCGTTTACTTGTTTTCAGTCAATAAGTTGGTTGAGATCTAACAGGTGTCTTCCAGACATTCACCTCACTCAATCAGCAGTTGATGAATCTGCAAGTCAGTTGAAACGCATGAAAGTGTTTTATGAATTCCTTAATCTATTCATCAGTTCCGACCCATTTAAATCCACCATGATCAAAAAGAGGGTTGTCAATACAAGATTGTACCTTGAGCGTTCAATGTTCACATTAATTTTTAATGTTGCAGGTTCAGAAAAAAAGCGTGCCGTTTTGACCGGTACGAAGCTGTTCTTGGCTCCGCATCACTGCAGCACTGCAGATTTGAGTGTGGGTGAAGAGTACTTTGTTTTCGGCCGCGATGGTGAGCCCTTTGCGAATAACGGCTCAGTCGGGTAAGTTGGAGTGAATTATGTGTTCCTGTCACTTCCTACATTTTCGCGTTCATGCCATTTGTATTTAGGCATGCTTTTCTTGGTTTAAGACACTGCAATGCAGAAATCACCTGGAGATGGAGGATATAACCTGTGTTAGCGTGGAAGCATTCACCTAGTTGCAGCGGTAATGGTGACAGGCTGCTGATTGAAGAATGATGCCCGTTAGATCGTGACAGCAGTGTTTGCGTTTCAGTGGAGAGAAAGGGCTAGAGACCCGCATACTTACATGTAGATGCATGTTAAAGAACCCACAGGTAGTCATTCGAAGCCATGCAAAGCAGATGGGAGTAGTGGCAAATTATAGTTTACCCGCAGCACTTATGAACGAAAATAAAATAAAAGAAGATGAACTAACGGCGTATCACCGGTGTGATCCGCACCCTCAACATCCGCATTTGTACGCTTATGTACAGACTCTTGTTAAACAGATTCTGCGGAGATTCAAAAAAAATTAGCAGGAGTTTCATTTACTGCAAGATGAACTGGAGTGCAGAAATGAAGTATGAAATGTTTTAAAGATGATTGTTCCATTTTGACAGCCATTACTTTTACGTACTGAGAGTTCATGCATCTAACCACAATCCTGACACGAATTGCACAATTTCTTTTGATTCGGTGGTCATGGGGCAAAAATGAACCCTGTCAGCCCGTGCCCCTGATAATGATAATTATAATAATAATGATAATAATGATAATAATGGGCCTAGTTTGCAGCATGTATTTCAATGTCGCAACACCTTCACGTCTCGTATATGGAGCAGGTCGTGAATGTGCGTGGTGTCTCAAGAAATTGTTTTTGATGCTGTTTTATTTGCAATCCTGTATAATTATAGGAAACTGATACGCAAGAAGCCAATCAATCAGCTAGCACTGAGAGGGAAAGTACAGGAATTCAGAGTGTCGCTGCAGAACAGGTACTCGGCTCTTAGTGAGGAAACCAACCTTAGCGTAGATACAATGAATGATAATCTGACGAGTATCATTACGGAGTGTGCAGTGGAAGTTGGAGGCAGGGTAGTTAGCCAGGACACTGGCAAACTTTCCCAGGAAACTAACCTAATTAAGAAGCGTCAAATCATGAAAGTGTCAAGTACAACAGACAAAATAGAACTGGCAGAGCTTTCTAAGTTGATTAATAGACGTAATGTATGCGATGTAGGAAGGTATAACATGGAGAGAATTGAACACGCTCTGAAAAATGGAAGAAGTGTCAAAGCATTGAAAAGGAAACTTGGGATAGGCAAAAGTCGGATGTATGCACTAAGGGACAAAGAAGGCAAAATAACTACCAATATGGATAGGATAGTTAAAATAGCGGAGGAGTTTTACAGAGATCTGTACAGTAGCCGAGACAACCACGACCTTGATACTATAAGAACTAGCAGTAACCCAGATTACACCCCACCAGTAATGATAGAAGAAGTCAGAAAAGCTTTGGAAAGTATGCAAAGGGGCAAAGCTGCTGGGGAGGATCAGGTAACATCAGATCTGCTGAAAGATGGAGGACAGATTGTGTTAGAAAAACTAGCCACCCTGTTTACGTGGTGTCTCCTGACGGGAAGAGTACCAGAGTCTTGGAAGAACGCTAACATCATCTTAATACATAAGAAAGGAGATGACAAGGACTTGAAGAATTACAGGCCGATCAGCTTGCTCTCTGTAGTATACAAGCTATTTACAAAGGTAATTGCTAACAGAGTAAAGAAAACATTAGAATTCAATCAACCAAAAGGACCAAGCAGGATTTCGAACAGGCTACTCAACAATTGACCACATTCATACTATCAATCAGGTAATAGAGAAATGCTCAGAGTATAACCAACCACTATACATAGCCTTCATAGATTACGAGAAGGCGTTTGATTCAGTAGAAATATCAGCCGTCATGCAAACACTGCGGAATCAGGGCGTAGATGAAGTATATATAAACATTCTGCAAGAAATCTACCGGGGATCAACTGCTACCATAGTGCATCATAAAGAAAGCAACAGAATACCAATCAAGAAGGGTGTAAGGCAGGGGGACACAATTTCCCCAATTCTATTTACCGCGTGCTTACAGGAGGTTTTCAGAAACCTAAAATGGGAACAGTTAGGGATAAGAGTCAATGGAGAATACCTTAGTAACCTGCGCTTCGCCGATGACATTGCATTGCTGAGTAACTCGGGGGACGAATTGCAACTCATGATTACGGAGTTAGACAAGGAGAGCAGAAAGGTGGGTATTAAAATTAATCTGCAGAAAACGAAAGTAATGTACAACAACCTCGGCAAGGAGCAGCGCTTCGAGATAGGTAATAGTGCAGTTGAAGTTGTAAAAGACTATGTCTACTTAGGGCAGGTAATAACTGCAGAACTGAACCACGAGATTGAAGTAACTAGAAGAATAAGAATGGGGTGGAGCACATTCGGGAAGCACTCTCAAATTATGACAGGTAGATTGCCCCTATCCCTCAAGAGGAAGGTATATAACAGCTGTATCTTGCCGGTATTTAGCTACGGAGCAGAAACCTGGAGACTTACAAAGAGGGTTCAGCTTAAATTAAGGACGACGCAGCGAGCAATGGAAAGAAAAATGGTAGGTGTAACGTTAAGAGACAAGAAGAGAGCAGAGTGGATTAGGGGACAAACGGGGTTAAGGATATCATAGTTGAAATAAAGAAGAGGAAATAAACATGGGCCGGGCATGTAGCGCGTAGACAGGATAACCGCTGATCATTAAGGGTAACTGACTGGATTCCCAGAGAAGGGAAGCGGGTTAGGGGGAGACAGAAGGTTAGGTGGGCAGATGAGATTAAGAAGTTTGCGGGTATAAATTGGCAGCAGCAAGCACAGGACCGGGTTAACTGGCGGAACATGGGAGAGGCCTTTGTCCTGCAGTGGACGTAGTCAGGAGGAGGAGGAGGAGGAGGAGGAGGAGGATGATGATGATGATGATGATGATGATGATGATGATGATGATGATGATGATGATGATGATGATGATAGATATGGACGTGGGAAATCTATAATAAGGGTGCCCTCAAAAAGTTTTATAACCATACAAGCTTTTCATTTGGCCGGTAGGCAACATCATATATGCGCACATATATATGTCCTTTTGTACATATATATACAGCGGGTTAGGGGGAGACAGAAGGTTAGGTGGGCAGATGAGATTTGAGGGTATAAATTGGCAGCAGCAAACACAGGACCGGGTTAACTGGCAGAACATGAGAGAGGCCTTTGTCCTGCAGTGGACTTAGTCAGGCTGATGATGATGATGATGATGATGATGATGATGATGATGATGATGATGATGATGATGATACTTATAAACACACACATATACAGCAGCATGTGTTTGCTTCAATCTGTCTCCCGATCGCACGACTTCGTGGTTTAAAGCCATTCATGCACTATACAAAAGGCACACATGCCTATTTGATATCTTGCTAAGCCTATTTGCCAACTTCCTATCACACTTTCTATGCACCCACTTAGTGGCTGTTCCCTTAAGACCACGTAGTGGGGTGCATAGCAAGTTTGAAAATATTTCATGCACTAAGTGCGTGAAGTACGTTGCATGGACAGGAAATCGCTATAGCATTCAACTCCTAAAAGTGAAGCTTAAGGGTCCCTCAATTGTTTTAGCTACTTAGGAAAGGCCATAAGATGATCCTATTGTCCCGATTATCAATGTTTTAAAAGGTGTGGCTATTGTTTAATTCAAACATTATTCTCTGTAGTTCAAGCACGGCATTATTACTAACTCATCCTCCAAGTGGCTTGTACTGTAATGTGGAGCATTTATAGTTGTATATAGCTACAAGTTTAAACCTTGAAGCTTCAAGTGTCATCACCCAAATGCCTCTTGGGAAACTTTATCTATTTCTATTTGCAGTGTGAGATACAGCTTGGACAAGAGTGTGCGCCTCTTCAAGGTGGAGAAGGAGGAGGCACATTCCCGGCCGAGCTGGAGATCTAGCGGAAAACTAAGCTCCGTTTTTCATTGGCTTTCAGCGAGACTGCAGAGCCACCAAGGCTGCCCGGAGCACTTAAGAGTTGTGCGGTCGGCAACGTTTAGTAATAAGGATATGGCTGCGTTCAAACGCCACTAGCGGCCAGTGTAATCCCTGCCCGTGGGTCTGTTTCTCCACACTTCCCTACAACATCGGTTACTCTCAGCTACAACTCTCACACAGACTGTGATGAACTGTAGACCCCACATCCATGTGCGTGTGGAAAAAGCAGGAGGGAAATTTCATTCATGATTGATCTGGTATACGAGAACATAGTTTGATACCATCGTACTGCTTTTAACTTGAAGAAACAAACAAGTGACCGTATGAGTAAAATATACTGCATCATGTTGCGTCACATTGCACATTGCTTCGAAGCAAAAAAGAAAATTTTCCTGTTTGTTGATCTCAGCAACTTGTACACCAACCACGACAAAATTATCATGTCGAGCGTGAATTTTAACGCACGACACACTGTGTCAGACTCTCGAAAGAAAATGCCACGGGACCTGCGCAGCTCGGATTTCAAAACAACTGTGGGCAGTTCGACAAACCTGCGACCATGCAAAGAGGCTAGACCTATCTATCCCGACGTGGGAGCAGCCCGATTGGATTGGATTAGATAAACTTTTATTTGAGCAGTCCGAGACGTCGATATTTTTTTTTCTTACTTCATTCCGTCGCGACCATCGCAGAACACAGCGCATCCTGCTTTGCGCCGTGCATGCGTTCTTCGCCCAGACCCTCGGGTCAAAACTTATAACGAAGAACGAACGTTGAGCAGTTGAACGTTGCATAATTGGTAATGCATTCAGGCTTAGAATCGGAAGCTACACTTCTTGCAAGACAAAACGAGCTGCAAATGTGCGTTATATGGCGTAAACATTCGCATTCGAGTGCAACGTTCGTCCCCTTTCTAAAGCCGTGGTGTCGCATGAACTCCGGGGTGGGTGGAAGCATAATTGACCAAAGAGTTTCCTTCAATACTTATTAGAGGGAACACTGCCGCTAGTGTCTATGGAAGTTGCAGTACGTACATGGCCCTTCAGCCAGCATGACAGCGATGGGTACACGGGTATAGTACCTGGATTTGTCGGTACCTTATGACGGCACACTCTTAATCAGGTCCTGGTTAAATGATGGGTATACCTCAAAAAACCAGCCGTTCCGGCTATATTTAGCACTTTAAGGAACCTCATTATGATTGTACTTGCATGAGCTAGTTTATCGATTCATGGCTACGTCATCGCGAACCGCCTAGACGACGCGGAACACGTGTTCGTGTGATTCAGTCTTAGTTTCTAAGCGTTGCGCAATAGCGTAGCAATAATCTCGGTATGGTTCCAAAGTCGGAGCGCTCATAGAACTGCAAAAGGGTTGACTGTTGCGCGAGTTGGTGCTTTGATATAGAAACCATCGTGAGAGCACAACTAAACGCAACACACAGAAAGAACAGACCATGTCTGTTTCTTTTTGTGTGTTGTATTTAGTTGCGCTCTCGCGATGATTTCCATGTCAAAAATAGAATTGTAGCTACCAAAAACCAGCACACCCGGTGAAAATGGAAGATCGCACTGAAGTGCTGTGAAAAAGCTGTATTTCAATCTATCATAGGAATATAATTATTTGCATCGGAACAGATGCTTCATTCAATATTTTCTCTGCGTATATAAATTTGAACTGTAATGCCTTAGCAGAGCCACCGAGCCGTTTCCTCATACAATCCATGAATGAAACGCACTGCCTGAATTTGTACCGCAGAGCTCAAATATATATGTCATCGTTGGGGGGGGGGGGGGGGTTGATTTCTATATGAAAAGAAGAGAAAAGTTAGCCCCGTAACTGTCTCCCAGGGCGAGGTCACCTCAACAGTAGCTGACGTGGGATGGGGGTAAGGAATGATCAAAAAGGATAGGAATTAAAGGTATAGAGATAGAGAGAGGAGCAGGAGGAAAGGAAGGCGCAGCGACAGTCACATACGGAAGTCAGGAGAAAATAGGAAAGATGGACACGGTCGCAGAAGTCCGAGGACGGGGCACCACTCAGCGAGAGCTCTTATCGGCGTCAGGAGATGGCGTAGGGCGAGCCAGTCGGCCAGAGCTGCGCTGTCGTCGGAGATCGCGGGGCCACAACCGGTCGGCACGAAATCCAAAGAGCGAGTGGTCATCGCTCATGCACGATTCTCGCTAATTTATGACCCAAGGTGTTCCCTAAAACGTCGGTCGCTTTTCACATTTGGAAAGTGATAATAAAGATAACTTCCCTTTTCGTTGGGGAGCACGTAGATTGTTGTGTGAACATTTGCTGTATTGCATCGTCATTCCTTTTCCCTTAGTGTTACTTGTCCTAACATTTCTGACACCTGTGCATTTTCTTGCCAGTGTTCTCACCTGGCGTATCTTGCATGTTTTCTATATTTTATTATTGTTTCCTGTGTTTCACATGCTGTAAATGCTGTTGGACACGAGTATGTTGTGTGTGCCATCCACCTGTCTGGCTTGCATGGCAAGCTGGCAAGTATGAAATAAATTGAAAGTTGCCGTGAAACATGCACTGTCACGTTAAGTATAGAGCCACACCACGGGAGCACGCGGTCTAGTGCTCTTTAAGGTATCTTTTCGAGTTGCAGGGGAGGCTTAGGCTGTTCTGGCGAGTGCGAATTGCCTACACTCATCCTCGTTTTGCCCTATCTTCAAGAGAGAGAGAGAGAGAGATGTCTGAGAGAGAAGCGGGGAGGTTGGCCTGAATCAATTTTCAGACCTGCTACTCAGCGTTAGGAGGGGGCGGTAAAGAAAGCTGTTCAAAAGTGATAACTGGTGTCATGACTTGACAACCAAGCTTCGAATCTCTCCTCAGCACACCTCAATCGTATTCCTTCAAATAAAGGAGGAAGATAGTGAAAGCAAGCTATATCAGGAGGCAATATGTGCCCTTAACAGCCAAGCTCTCCCCCAATGATTTGAAAATATGCTAAGCGATGGACGAGTGCTGCCATTGATCGGCTAGCCATTTATTTCTTCTGTGGGGGCTTAATCCTACCCAGGAGACACCATGATTTCGTTGGTTTGAGCGTCATCATCCAAGACGGTTGGCTTGTCGGGGCTGGCGGAATCCCGTGACGCTCCCTTGTGTTTACGCTTAATTGGATGGCGTGGTGAGCTCATCAAGCATAGAGTTACTGAAGTATGCTACCTTCAGTGAGCATATACAGTAACTCTAATCAAGCCACCATCCTTTCTGGGCTCATTCTCTCCCACGCTCTCCCTCAAAGTGCGCGTAGCCTAAAGCAGGACATCACGGCGACGGCGAAAAATTGCGTTCATAGTTCACATCATTGTGCAACAAAAAGGCAGACATCGTGTATTGGCAAAGTCTAAAATAAACAGCAAACAGGGGAAAAGTTGGTCGCGGAGGCTTGATTCTTCAGCCGTGTCGGCTGTCCCTGCGCAGAGCCCTCCGCCGCGTCGTGCCCACGATGACCTCTCGGTTCGGGATGTCGTAGACGAACGTCAAGTGGAAAGCCACGTGACACAAGGCGTACACCCACTGGCACACCGGGAACCACGATTCGGCTGCATGCGGTGCATTTCGTTATTATTATTATTATTATTATTATTATTATTATTATTATTATTATTATTATTATTAGCAGCTATTGTACAAACTGTGACCGCATCCGGTAGACGGCCATTCATGACGACTCTCGTGGCGCCGGCGTAGCACTGCTTGCAATGGCTTTCAAAGCAGTGCACTCGCGTGCCGTGCCTCACGAAGCGGCTGTATCTCTGTAGGGCGGGCTTTACGTAAAATTGAAACACCGCGCGGTATACGCCGAGAAGCGCAGACTGAATGACTGTTTACCCGATGGAGCCCCATGTGTAACGACCGCCCTCACCGTCACACTCAAGATACGCAGTCACGTGTTTCCGACTGTCGAGTTTCATTTCCGGGCACTGTACGTTAAAGCAGTGGCATGTCGGTTATGAGCTCTAGTACACTGGCGTAGACAGGTGGGGGGTAAGAAAGGAAAAATAGTCTACCGCCCTCGGTTTGTGGCACGAAGCCAGAAGGAAATGCAGTTTCACTACAAACGGGTGGTACGATGTCTATTTTTCCTTTTTAATCCCCCCCCCCCCGCCACCTTGCGTGCTTCCGCAGAACTCATTGGCATTCAAGTATGGGGTGTGGGGGAGGGGTCAAGGGTTTCACATTCCCCCAAAGTTTTATCAATTTTGCTCGTGTGTATATACACGCACACATACAAATGGATGCACAAACATGCATAAAGAGTGGTTGAACCTACCCTACCGAGAAACTGTGGCTACGCTAGTCTTCTGGTACATTTTTCGTAAGGATTGCAGCATGCATGCGCGGGGAAAAAAAAGACTAGACTCGGGGGTCTCAAGCTGTTCTTCCTTTTGGGTGCGTGCGTTCCGTGTAATTAAGCTTTCGGGAATTCACTGAACACAATACGCACTCGCCTATCAGCATTGCACATGCAAGCAAATGTTTAGAAGATGGTCTACACGTTATTGCGGCCCACGTTTAAAAACTAAGATGTCCACCAGTGTGTTCGAGAAGTTGCTCCCTCAACTTTGATGGCGTTCTCAGTTATTCCTCTTGTTTCTTCTCCGCAAGCCCTACAGCAACACTCGAATGACCGACGTTTCGGTTACCAAAATAGTACTTTACTCCATCGGCTACTGTAACGATACAGTACACGTTATTTACATTATGCACTGCATAGTTGGAAATTTAATACTGAAATTTTTAACAAGAGACTTTCACGGCATTTCTCACCAAAAAATAAGGCTTTTGGAAATGTTGAACTTTTTTTTTTAATTTTGCTGTCTTTCACAGAATTTTGGTAGTTGTGATTGTGTCTGCAGATTCTACCTAAAAAGTAAGCCTTGTGAACAAGGACAAGGGCTTGGTGGGTGTCGTTACGGTAGCAGGCACCTATCGTCTTTCCAGATAGCTTGTGTTTTCCAGTAAGGATGACGTGTTCTTTCAATGAAGCGCAGGTTTATTTACATGATTAAAAGAGAGAGCGTGGAACTTGTACTAGTGTACTCGGCTCATATAGCCCCGCATCTGCTAACACTGAGACCGTCGGGAAACGGTGACATCAGCTCCCGTCAATCCCGTGTCTTGCCGTCTGGGTGCTCCACTCACCAGAAAGGGTAAAATAGGCCACTGAATACACCTTTCGTCGAATACAACTTTGTCGGGGAAGGCCCCGCCCAGACGACCGAAGCGCGGCAGCTGATCGTCTGAGCGACTAAAGAAATAGTCCCTCTCTTGCTTTCTGCAGACGGGGTCAACGGCCGTGCGGTTCATGACGTCAGTCTGGAGTGTACATCCATTGGTGCAGGCTTGTACGCATTCGCTTTTGAGGGGGAAAACGCCGCTGCCTTCCAAAGTTGTAACTGACTATGGCGAGATGGGTGGTCGAGGACGATGTCCATGGATGGATGGATGGATGGATGGATGGATGGATGGATGTGGCTGTACCCTTTAGATCGGGCGGCGGCTAACGCCACCTAGCCGTAATACTTAGTGAACTAATCATTAGATTTATCTTTTTTTTTCCCTTTAAATAGTGAGGTTGAGGATTCGTATTTTGCAGCGAAGGGCTTAATTTTCACTCGTGCCTTGACTTTAGCCACCAATCAGATAACCTCCTTCTAGTTAAGTCTACCCGCTTAAAGTCTATTTTGCCCTCCCTGTCCCTAAACCCTAGTGCTTTGAAAAACTCTGCGCCATCATCCTGAACTATAGGGTGAAGCCCTTTACAGAACATTATCAAGTGTTCGGCAGTTTCTTCTTCCTCTCCACACGCACTGGATACTGTGTCTACCCCTTCGTATTTGGCCCGATATATCTTGGTTTGCAATACTCACGTCCTGGCCTCAAACAGTAGAGAACTACCCCGAGTATTATCATAGATCCTTTTCTTGGCAATTTCCTGCTCAAAAGTTCGATAGATCTCTAGTGCAGAGTTCTTAATCATGCCAATTCTCCACATGTCAGTCCCCGTTTCCTTCACTTTCTTCTTAACCGATACTTCTTTTTGGTTTGGCCACCTGCTGTTTTCTAAGTCTTTACCAGTCAATTTCCTCGTTCGCTTCCTCCATTTTGTATCGACATTCTTCATGTACAAGTAGCTGAAAACCTTCCTAGCCCAACACTCCTCCCCCATTTCTCTCAATCGCTTCTCAAATTTTATCTTTCTGCTAGCTTCCCTACCCTCAAATGATGCCCATCCCATATCACCTCGTCCTCCCAGATTTGGTGTGTTCTCGTGAGCTCCTAATGCAAGCCTACCTATTCCACGTTGCTTAATTTCTAATCTTGCTTGAACTTCTGATCTCATGCACAAAACCGCGTCAGCCCAGGAACCATGACCCCTTTCCATATTCCTCTCACAACATCATACCTATTGTAATTCCACAGTGCCCTATTTTTCATCACTGCTGCATTCCTGTTACCTTTAGTCGTCATGTATATTTCGTGTTCCCTTAGGTACTCCGTCCCATTGCTTATTCATACGCCCAGATATTTGTATTTATCTGTTATCTCTAGCGTGACTTCCTGTATTCTAAGCTCACTACCTTTGTTATCATTGAAAATCATGACTGCTGATTTTTCCTTACTGAATCTAATATCTAACCTATCTCCCTTATTACCGCAGATGTCCATCAATCTCTGAAAATCTTCCTTGTTGTCGGCCATTAGCATTATATCATCTGTGTACATTAATGCTGGTAGTGCCTGATCAACGAGTTTTCCTTGTTTGACTAAAAAGAGGTTGAAGCCCAGTCTACTTCCCTCTAATTTGGCCTCTAATCCTTGTAGGTACATCGTGAATAATAAGGGTGACAGGGACACCCCTGGCTAAGCCCCCGTTTTACCTCTGCAGGCTTGGATACCTGTTTTTCCCACTTTACAACTACCTTGTTACCTTTATAGATATCCTTTAAAAGATTAGTGACTACATGTTCCACGCCTAGTGTGTCCAGTATTCCCCACAATTCCTCTTGAACCACGCTATCGTACGCTCCCTTGATATCCAAAAATGCTAGCCACAGGGGCCTGTGTTCCTTTTCTGCTATTTCGATGCACTGCGTCAGTGAGAACAGATTGTCTTCCAACCTCCTGTGATTCCGAAACCCATTCTGCAGTTCGCCCAGCACCCCCTCATCCTATATCCATGCCTGCAGTATTTCCTTTGTAATCTGCATCGCCAGCATGTAGACCACTGATGTCACTGTTATAGGACTGTAGTTGTTTATGTCAGCCTTGTCCCCCTTTCCTTTATAGATCATGCTCCTCCTGCTAAGTTTCCATCCATCGGGAACTTCACCATCGATTATTAGTTTGCTCACTGCCTCTCTCAAAGCCTGCTTAGACTTCGGACCTAATGTCTTTATTAGCATAATTGGAATGCCATCTGGGCCTGTTGATGTACTACTAGGAACCCTTTTCTCAGCCCTTTCCCACTCTTGTTGTGAAAATGGAGTCATTGCACCACTTGATTCAGCCTTGTCTATTGTGGTGCATAAAGCACTTCTTTGTTGAAATTTTTCTGTCACCCTTGTTCTTATATATTCAATAGCTTCGTCCCCTTCTAGCCTAGCACCTTGAGCTGTAGTTATAAACCTCTGCCCTAGGCTCGTCTCATTTCTTGGGCAGTTTAGATGATTCCGAAATTTTGCAGCTGCCTTCCGATCTTTTTTATGTAGTTCTGCCAGCCACAGAGCTCCCTTTCTTCTAATCTTTTCATTGATCAGAAGGGATGCATCCCTTCTACAGCTTAGAAAGGTTTCACATTTTCTTTCAACATCATCTGTCGGTTCACCCCGCTGCTTAGCATGTATGTGTTCCCTAGAAGCTTCCTGACGTTTTGCTATGGCTATCTTAACTTCCTCATCCCACCAACTTTTGGGTTTGTGTCTTCTTTTCCGGGGTGAATTGTCACGCGTCTTAGCAAGCTCTAGCTCAAACAGTCTAATTAGATTCGTGTATGTCCACACTGTTTTATTATCCTCCGTGATTACTTTCTCAGTTTGTTTAGTGGCTATTTCAATTTGCCTTTTTGGATAAAAATTTTCCTGTAGTTGCTCATCTTGTCTCCTTCTCACTTTCACTGCTCTTCCAAAACTTAGCTTGATACGTTTGTGATCACTACCCAGACTTCTGGAGCCATTTTCATCTATGTGCATTCCCCTGAGCTTATCATACATCCTATGTGACATCAGTGGGGCCAGATGGGTGGCGCGATGAATGGCCCAGGTCTGGCCCAATGGGCCAGACCTGCGCCACCCATCGTCAACATACGACTCCCACACACATTGGCTGACCTCATCCCGAGATCTCTCAGGGAAGAGAAAAAATCCAAATATGGGTGGGGGGGGGGGGGGATGAGGGAGGGTCATCGACTTTGTGCGAAATGGTGACCGCTGTCTCGAGCAACTGAACCGCCTATATCTTTCGCGTCATCAGTATGTACCAACAAGCCCAAATTTCAAGAGTGCTGAACTTTGTCTTCGTTCGGGTGAAAGAACGCCCTGTTCTATGGGACCTCTCCCACAGCACCGTTCCACGTTCGGTACAAGGGTCTATTGCCATAGGCAGCGTAAGCATGGTTCCCCTTTGGGGGGGGGGGTATTAAACTTTGAGCGAAAGTCGATTAAAGGGACACCACGCAGGCGCTGTGGTATACTAATGCAGTAGGCTCACCTTTTTCGGAACAGTTTGCACGGTGTTTGTTCACGTAAACGAGCATGGCCGCAGCCACCGCCCCTGCCAGCATCATGAGGCACAGCTTCAGGCGGAAGGACCGGCGAGCCTGCGCAGGTCGTCAGACGAGCGTCAATAAGCACCACATTTCATCTGCGCACGCGCATTCATTGTGATGCGATATTTCGCAAAGAAATGCTTTTCTGGGTGAATTATCGTCGCAATCACAATGAAACTAAGTCAATGACGTAGCCAAGGGTGGCATACCAGGCCCGTGCAACCGCCCCCGCCATTACATTTATATTCGCGCGTGCATGCACGTGACGTCACGAACGCACATGGTTCCAACATGGCTTAGATGACGTGCATGCAGTATAATGAAGCAGTGATTGACCTGCTTCAGTGTGACAACGGCGTCGCTAGAATGATGATTTGACTTCTGTGTATAGATATCAGAGCAACCAAGATGTGATGTACTGATAACACTAACGTGACGTCACAAGGTTTGCGTCCCACGCTGTTAGTGCTCCGACATGACTGTTTCAATGAAGTCATAGCAAGCCATTTACAGCCGCCTCTTCAAAACAGCGGACGCTTGAGCATGTGGCAGATAGCCTCCTAACGTACGCTTATGTGGGGTGGAACGGCGGTGAGATCTGTAAATAAAAGAAGGGTGCCGTCCCTTCTGCTGATGACACTCCCGTGACAAATGTGTCTTTATTTTACGCTTTCTTCTTTCGATCTGTTTTCTGTTGAGGCTTTTCATCGAAAAATGATTGCTTCCGATAAGAAGTGTTTATATTACAGCTACACGTGTCAAAGAACAAAAGCTTATAAAAATAGAAGAGCGCCGTGAGGAGAAGTGCAGGAAGGAAATGAATGTTAAGGCACCAGTATGTCCTTCTATGCTCACATTTGGTCAGTACGCCGTGCTACATGTGCTGCACGAGGCTACCTGCCACGCGTTCGCGTGTTCCCTTTCTCAAAATGACGGTTGTACTTGGACATGCACAATTGTTTGAACTTATTGCCCCCTCCCCACCCCTTGGGCTGCGCCAGTGGTAAAGACCATTCACTAGTCTACTTCCTGAAGGTCGCGTTACGACATATTGGAAGGAAACAGTGCGAAAAACGACATACAAAAAAGGACATACACAATGCTCTGTCTTTGTCCTTCATTGCCTGGTTTCTCATTTTTTCGCGCTGTTTCCTTCCGATATGTCGTACCAACACGCCCAAGCAACCACTTCGGCTGCGTTACGACCGTGACTTGCCATGTGACCATACAAAGAATTAGCCCCGCCGCGGTGGTATAGTGGCTAAGGTACTCGGCTGCTGACCCTCACGTTGCGGGATTGAATCCCGTTTGCGGCGGCTGTATTTCCGAAATATTGTAGGCCTGTGTGCTCAGATTTGGATGCACGTTAAAGAACCTCAGGTGGACAAAATTTCCGGAGCCCTCCACTACGGCGTCTCTGATAATCATATGGTGGTTTAGGGGCGTTAAACCGCACATATCAATCAAAACCATACAAAGAAGGACACGTACAGAAAGCTCTGTATGTGTCCTTCTTTGTCTGGTCTCTCGTTTTTCGCGCCATTTCCTTCCAATATGTCGTACCAACACGCCCAAGCAACCACTTTAGCTGCGTTACGAAACTCGCCTTGTGACCCTGCTCATGCTGGCACATGCGCAGGGACAGGCACGCGCTCAGCATGAACATGAGCGAGGAGACGACGAAGTGGGTGTAGATACGTTCGTGCGCTGGGTACTCCTGGTAGTTGCGCAGTCCGGAAACCAGGCTCAGCGACAGCGTCTCGGCCACGTGCAGCGCAAGGCCCGCGTGCGTCACCAGCGTGAAGAGGGAGCGCTCCTGCGGAGCTACGAGCACGTAACGCCGCCCCAGGTAGTGCCAGTGCAGGAAGGCGAGCACCAGCCGCGGATTCAGGTCCAGCAGCAGCGCCAGGCTCCAGACGTGGCGCTGCGGCGCCACTCCCACCACAAGGTCCACCGAGGGCAGCAGGTCGTAGACCTGGGTTGGGAGCAGTAGTTCTCGGTGGTAATCTCAGACCCCCCCCCCCCCCATCTGTATTGACAACAGCTCTGTGGTCGCACTAGCTGTATTTTTGTGTTATGAGTTAAAAACATGAATTTCCCTGAATGTTTTACGGAAGGAATAAGGGCGCAAACGAGATGAACACAAGAAGAGACATGAACGAACGCGGAGGCGTTCATCCATGTATCTCCTTCGATTCGATCCTTTCAGCGATTATAGGTGGCACAGAGGAAAGTCGAAATGGCAGATGATACGGCGATGTCGCGAGCGTTTACGTCAGCGTCGCAGAGGCTGAAGACGCGTTCATTGGTTCATGACTACTGAGTGACCGAACTGCGTCGCAGTTTCATCACCGTGTGACAGCTTGGGATCACGGCTACATGACGCCGGCTGCGTCGCTGGAATGACCGAATTGGTCTCGTTTGTGCCTTATTCCTTCGGTAAACCTTGCATCAACTAGCTCAAGAAAAATCTCTTCTTCATTGAATGTACAGGCAGCCATGTGGCTAATGAACAGATGACAAGGAGGCTGGGAAGGGTCTCAAACCACCGACAAGGGATGCGAGAACTATAATGACTCGGTGGCAACTTTTCTTGACACTGAAGGGAAAGCTACGGTGGCGGAGCTTCTGCACATGTAGCATTACGCAAAGTAGGTCGTTTTGGCGTGCGTTTCGTAACGCTGCAGTAGGCAGAGTAATGGGGGCGCTGCCGTCAGCGTTTCATGTATACACAGATGCCGCTTAGCGTTTGAGGTGCACTTGTAACAGTGGGACTTTCTCATGCGTTTAGAAACGCGACGTCACAACAGATATAATTAAGAAATACGAATATCTTACAGGTGCGAGCTGCATCCTGTCTCGTATAGCTCCACACAGAAAATAAAGGGGGAACATATATATTTCACGTTGAAAATACGGGTGCTACTTTGGAACTGCCTTCACTGGCGGTTAAGCACATGATTTGGCTCCATAGCTTTTCTTTCAGTGCCAAGAAAATTTGTCGCCGAGTATAGCTAGATTGTAGGATAATAAGTTCACAAAATATAAACTTCATTGAATGTACAGACATCCGTGTGGCCCGTATATAGATAGATGTGACGGGGGGGGGGGTCTTGGAGGGTCGCATTCCCGCGACCAGTATTGACAATAGATCTGTAACCTCCATTGCCATATGGTGTGATTTTGTGTTCGCCAAATATCAACTTCAGTTACAGTAAGCCTTCTGCCCCACGCGGCAAGGAAATCTTCAGATTTAATTTTGTCCGATCATTCTTCAAGGCTACGACCATGCAGCTTTTTGACGATAACGGCTGCCGAGGGTCACTAGTGTTGCGTTGAAGGGCTGTTACTATTTTTTACCCAAGAAAGCCTGGTACCAAAGGCACAGGGTTCCCCTTCAGGAAGGGCGAAGGTTGATCACGGCATCTACCCTCTATTACGTCAAGTTATGGGACAGACTTAGCTCCTCGCACCCTCTGAGGTGACCAGGGCTATCACTCGGCTGGTACGTGTTCATTCTGAAAAAGACGGTGCGTGCCAACGCGGACGCAAGAAGGAAGTGAAGAAACGCGTCTGAAGCTTGAGGCATGTCATGCAGATAGTAGTGATGACGCATGCGTGAGCCCACGTCGATTAACTTGCAGAAGGGTGAAATCAAATGTCGACACAGTTATCTTTCACGTAAACCATTAGGCATGTCAGATTGATAATTTTGCACATCGCATGCGCAGATAAGTTTGCATGTCCTCTTTCTTTTTCGACGTCGTGCGCATCTTCAGTTGTTAGTAAGCGTTCGTGATGACCCGACTTCCATCTCTTGTCCGTGTTTGCCAAACGCCTCGCCTTTTTCGGAAAGGCAGTCGGTTGTGGTAAGCACGTCATCGCTTGGTTTTTTCCCCCCCATTCACTGCGGAGCTTGCTCCCTTTCGAATAAGACCCCGGGTTGGGGGAAGTGGCCAACCCCGCCTGCGCACACCTAAAGGCCCCAGGTGAGACAAGTATCGGGTCCGCTTACCACGCAAGAGTTCGTGCTCTTAGCGGCACCCCAGAGCAGGACGGGCGCGGCGAAGCTCAGCAGGAGACCGCAGAAGCGCAGCCCGAAGGACAGGTACACGATGGTGTGCATCCGGAACCGGAGCATGACGTCATCCATGTTGATCGGCACCGCTTCCATTTGTACGAGCGCACCACGGGTACGTCCGAGGTACGTCCGAGGTTCCACGTCCGAGGTACGTCTTGTCAGATCAGGTCGCGGGTAATGATGAGGACAACAGGGGAGCACGTAAACGCGGCGCAGCACCGAGCAGTCGGCTTTTTCGAATCTTCTTGCCACGCGCGCTCGAGAACGTGCGCGCGCATCGTGTCACGCAGCTGGCATTCCAGACGATAGTTATAGAGCGAGAACAAAACGACGACACAGAGACAAGAAGGACACGAAGGACATAACTATCGTCATGTCATACCAACTAGCCCAAGCTGCCACACTTTTGAGTGGCATTCCAGATTGGGCAAAGGTGTGCCCGTGATGATGATGATGGTGATTCTCGGAGTAATGGCACAACCGACCACGGCGGATGGGCCACGAGGCGTGCGGCAGTAGAACGTGTGAAACAAAATACAAAGAAATGAAAAAAAAGGAAGAGATAAAGAAGAAAAGGGGGGGAAGGATATGCAAAAAAGATAATCTATTGGGAAGCAAAAAGCAAAAAAAATACTGGTGATATCTTTGGTGTCTTTTAATGCAACACTGTTTGAAGTAAAGTTAAACGTATGAGCTAAATAATTGATATAGTTAAGGTAAGATATGTTAGGTAGTTAAGATATGTTAGTAGCCTGCCCGTTTCTCCCCCTCGATATCAATTACGCCACCAAACGAGAATGCCACCACTTATTCGAACTAACTACGGGCGTCAGGACCTTGAGTATCAAGTACCCCGGCTATTGAACATTGTTGAACGTCATATATATTTTCATGCACCCCGCTTTAAAGAACTTATAAAGAACTTTCTGTTACATTCCACGATAACTTATCAATAAAATATATCTGTCTAATTTTCTACGTGTACTGCATATATAGTTTGTGCTACAATTTGAAAGTTCACAATTTAATGCGTATAGGTATATATTCTCGGAGTGTCTGTATGATATGTTTGTTTTCATGAAGAGTTTTCATGTATGATGTCAACCTGTAATGCTTTATTTGCAGTGACAATTATGTACATGCATGTTTTGATTTTTCTGGTTGCTCTATTGTTTTTATACTCGCATCGCATGCAAACATGTACACGCATGCCGAATGCGCATGGGAGTAGGAGCCTCTGTCGGGCAATACGGCCTTTAGCTCTTACTCCTCTCTCTGTATCAGAAAGAGAGAGAGAGAAGTAAACGTTTATTTTGAAACATTGATTGATTCGTGGGGTTTAACGTCCCAAAACCACCATATGATTATGAGAGACGCCGTAGTGGAGGGCTCCGGAAATTTCGACCACCTGGGGTTCTTTAACGTGCACCCAAATCTGAGTACACGGGCCTACAACATTTCCGCCTCCATAGGAAATGCAGCCGCCACAGCCGGGATTTGATACCGCGACCTGCGGGTCAGCAGCCGAGTACCTTAGCCACTAGACCACCGTGGCGGGGCTTTATTTTGAAACAGTGCCCCGAGCAATGCCCGGTGTCACCCTGAGGTGGGAGGGCTCCTTAGTCCAGGATGTATCAGAAAGAAATAAAATAAACTTCAAACTAAATTGATACATGAAAGATACCGGTATGTTGTTCTTGTTCACCTTCTACTGTGGCTCATACCCACTGTGAAAGATCGGCCAAGAAGTGAGTGTTCCTATGAAATTTTACGGAATTTGAGTATAATGGAAGTTATAAAGACATAATAAAGTTTATATAATGTTTGGAACTCACTAAAAGGTACAAAAAATAATGCTTTTTATTACTGATAGATAATAAATGAAGTTGTCTGTTTGTTTCCTCAACACTATACATGCCCACTCTGGGAGATCGTCCACAACTTCGTGTCCTAACACATGGACGATCAATTGAAGTATGCATGTTGTTGTTGTTGTTGTTGCTGTCGTCGTCGTCGTTGTTGTTGTTGCTGTTGTTGTAGCCTTGGTTGAGTAGTGGGTAGATTTTTCTATTGTTAAGGCAGCATTATGTAGTTAAATCATGGAAATATTTGAATAGCCCGTTAAAGGGAATAAAACATTCAAAGCTGCAGAATATAGTGAACCATTATTTTTTAGTCTCCGTGATGAATTTCTCCGCGGCTAAGAAAACACCCCTGCAGTTCTGTCCGGAGTAGTGGACCCGAACGAAAATTTGGTTGCTTTTTTTAATTCCAGATAAAATGGAGGTGTGCGTAAATTTCGCGGCGGAGGGGGGGGGGGGAGGGGCAGGTTTCTCTCGTGTTATTCAGGCGCCGCCACTCCTTACCCCAGTTTCGCTAAAAATTGAAGGGGCCCTCGAAGACTTTTCACGACTTCATTGTTTTACATGTTTTTCTAACTGGTTGCGTACACTGACGGCCTAAGGCATAAGTACCGCAAGAACGGTAGTGCTAGGGCCACGCAGTGCAAAGTTATTCAGCGTAGAGATATCAAAATAGAATGAAATGGATGCTTACCCTCAACTCGATTTTCGCGGGATCACCTTACCGTGTTTCTCTCACCCTCTGACATCGGGAGGCTGCCCAATGAAATGAACTGGCAGCCCTACCGTACTGGAAACTCGACGTATTGCCTGTTACGTCCAGCGTATTAAGGACGCCGTTGCGATGGTAACAAACAATGGGGTACTTGAAGAGAGAATGACACGTGCGAAACGAGCCAGCTCGCGAACGCTTCTATAATGTTTTGTAGCTTTACTGAACTTTCTTTTTGCAATGACGTTTATATCTCAACGCTTTTACATTTTTTTTCTTTTAGTTTTTTCAAATAACGGCGCCCGGAGCGTCGTGAGAGTGTTCGCTCCCGCACATGGTGTTCGGCGCATTATTTGACCAACGTTGCAGTTTTCAAGCTGGAAAAGTCGGAGACCCTTATTCTCTGTCGCTTTGAGTGAAAAATTATGCTAAAAAAATAAATCGCATAGTAATACCTATTTTGATGAAATGCCGTGATCGCATTTAACGTTACATTTATCCAATCATAAGGCGGCAATATCCCGGCGTCATTTCCGCTTGCAGTAGTTCTGGCAAGTGCCACTTCGAGTTACGCAGTCGGCCCCGATGTTTTCAAGCCTTTAAGAAGCCCCTCTCCTCCACCCCCTTGCCCCGCCGCGGTGGTCTAAGGGCTGAGGTACTCGGCTGCTGACCTGCAGGTGATGGGATCGAATCCCGGCTGCATTTCCGATGGAGGCGAAATTGTTGTAGGCCCGTGTGCTCAGATTTGGGTGCACGTTAAAGAAACCACAGATGGTCAAAATTTCCGGAGTCCTCCACTACGGCGTCTTTCATAATCACGTTAAACCCCACAAATCAATCAATTATTCCCCCCTGAAAAAAAAAATTTCTGGCTACACGCCTACCAGTTGCTCTAAAATGTGGCGGCCTTGTGCGGCTTCAGGTCGGAGGTTAATATTACAAGGATATTACAAGGTGTGTAGAAATACCTCGCCACAAAACAACATAACGTGTAACCACGATCTTGCCTGTAACCTTAAACCTTAAACTCTATTAGAACAATACACTTAGCGCCATCTGCATACAAATACACAAAGTAGGTGCTGACGCCGAGACAGCAATCAGCGCCCCGCCGCTATCTCAGATGTTACGTCATCGGTTTCGTTTGTTACGTCAACGCCTGCGCCAACGCGCGAAATGGTGAAGGGGGTGAAGGCGCCGACAGCTAATACGCAGCTCTGTTTTGCTTTTTTTATTATTATTTCGCGTGCCAGTGGTCTAAGCGACGTGAACTGTGCTGCGCCCGACTGCTAGTACACGGATAGTTTACGTTTTGCAGTAGCTGTCGACCGTTGTGGCGTGTGCACCGTAATTCGATCGCCGAACTTTCCATGACGCCTGGCGAACTAGAAACGCACGCTGAAGCCAAAGTTTGCCTTCGACTCCATCAGCGCTTGCAAAAGTGAGGTAAGAACTCTTGCGTACGGGTCGGTGCGCCCGTTTGAATGCCTGAAGCGTTTGTGTTTGCAACGGAGCACAGTAGTACGTGAGAACAATCGTTGTAAATTGCGATCCAGTGGCAGTTGTTACACTACATACGAACCGTCTTTGCATAATAGGTGCTCTCTGGCGTAGGTTTGACACCTGGCGCCAAAGTGGCCGCATTTTGATGAGATATAGGGGCATTATATTGCAAGTTAAATGAACTTTTACCGAGCCAATGAGGCATACGTTTGATAAGAAAAAAAGACTTCGAAATAAGTGACGCCATACATTCACTGGCTGACGTGAATTGGCTAAAATCAAGAGCGAAATTTCGTCCTTCAGTTTCGATTTTGATAATGCGTCCATGATGGCGGAAACGGTATATAATAACTGCTGGGCCTGACATCCCAAAGCTACGGTATCCAATTACAACAAAATGCTCAAAGAACAATGTATACGTCCGAAGTGGTGTAACACATCGATTTAGTGTCCGATTAATGCAGCAGAATAAGTTACGAGGGAAGTAGGAAATAAGTGCCTAAAGCCCGTAAGCTGCTTGTGATTGGCGGCATTACAATCCGGGTGGCGACATTACAATCCAGCACCGTTACAGACAGGTGACTGCCGCGCCACGGCGAGCCATGGTGAAAACTAATAAGAGTAGCCGCCCCACTAGGTGCTTTTCTCACGACCACGCGCGGCCTAGGTGCCAAATCGCGCGAACATCCCTAGGCGTTTTAGCCCTTAGCGGTGCGCCCGCGCTGGCTGGAGCGGTGCGGGTATGTAATGGCGCCGCTGGCTGTGTTATGTGTGTGTCAGCGCTTCCTCTATTTCGGCGTTGTGCGGCGGTTTGTATTATTGCGGCATTATTCCTTGCGAATATGGTGATGCTTGAGTGCTGACTGTTCTGTGTGGACGTCAGTTCTGAATGCGCGGTGCGCTCTGACGCGCTTTTGTGAACGCTGTCACGTGGGTACTTGCTGCATGTGGTCGCGCTGCGCTGTATTTGATCCGGACCGTGTAGCGGTGACTAA